TTGACGACGGGACACTGACTGACAGTGTCGCAATAGTGGGCTTGTCCTCACTGTTGGATTGCGCGTCCGGCTCGAAATCGGGCCGGCGCGAAAGAGCATCCGCGACGACATTGAGTCGTCCCGGTTTATACTCCACGGAGAAGTTATACTCCGCGAAGAAAGACAGCCACCTCGCCATTCTTTGCGAGAGGTGCGGGCTGTTTACGGCCAGTGTAGTGACGCATGGTCCGTGTAGACAACAAACGGTATATCTCCCAAGGTATAGACGCGAAACTTAGCGAGTGCGTACTTCATGGCAAGGAGTTCCTAGTCATGCACTGGTTAATTGCGATCAGCTGCTTGCAGCTGACGCGATTGGTAGCAGCTGACGCGCTCCGCGCCATCTCTGTCAAATTGCGTCAACGCGCATCCGATCGCAAAATCTCTGCCGTCACAGACCACGTGAAATGACCTTTCCTGATATGCAATCGCCAGTATGGGCGATTGCATGAAGATCTGCTTGATACCTTCAAATGAACGCTGATAGTCATCGTTTCATGACCACTTCACATTTTGCTTGAGTAAACAAGAAATATGCACAGTCATCTCGGCGTATTTGCGCTAGTACTTGTGCAAGTACGCCGCTAGCCCAAGGAACTTCCGCAGTCCCTTGACGTCGACTGGCACGGGCCAGTCGGTGATCGTCTTGATCTTTTCGGGATCAGGGCGTATGCCGTGTTTCCCCACGATGCACCCAAGAAGTGGTATTTCGCTAGCCGCGAATATACACTTCTTGAGGTTTACGTACAACTTATGCTTGTGCATAAGTTGAAGAAGCTGACGAACGTGTCATCTGTGAGCTTCCGCGTCCGTCCTTCCGTCCATAGCCCGGCTATGGACGAACACATCGTCGAAGTAACTCGGTGCGAAGTCTCGCACCGGTCTCAACAGATTTGTTACACATCTGTTGAATGTTGCAGGGGCATTACTCAGCCCCTGTGGCATCACTAGCCACTCCCACAGCATCCCGCTGGGGGTACTCACTGCCGTGAACGGGACGTCCCGTTCACGCATCATGATCTGATAGAATTCATCCATCAGATCCATGGACGAAAAGATGGTACTCTTTGACATACCATCTATGATTACGTCCTTCCTCGGTATCGGCGTCTGAGCCGGTACCGTTGCAGCATTCAACTTGTTGAAAGCGTGCACTATCCGCCACCCTCCTGTGGCCTTTCGCACACAGAAGGTCGGAGAGCTGTGAGGGGATGTTGATTCCCTCACATGGCCCGCTGCTAAGCGATCGGCAAAGAACTTGTCGATCGCTATCACTTGTTCACGAGGCAGTGGCCACTGCTTCATGACACAGTATTTCGAGCCCGGTTTGAGCTCGATCTCGTGTCGAGTGCCTTTGTCCTTAGGCAACTCGCAAGGTACGGATTCAGGGAACACATCCCTGAATTCGATCAAATCCTTATACAAAGGATTTGCCTGAAGTGACTCCCAGGATTGGGACGCGTATCGCTCAATCCGAGTCTTCTCATCGAGGACACTTTCGTCCATCGATGAGCTGCTGATAACCCGTTCGTTCTCAGCAAATACTGTTGCCGACCGAATGTCGGTCACATACTCGTCCTCTGTGACGAGTATGCAGATCTGCTTGACTTTGCCACTACGCAGATCACGCAAGAACCGTTTCGGTTCTAGCGTTGGCAACTGAGTTATCTCCGAAGTCAACTTCGGAGGCACAATCAGATCAAGCGTATAAGCGCCTACGCTTGATCCGTCATTAACCAAGACGTTCAACGTCTCAGTTTCTTCCTGGGAACTTGCTTCCACAGGTTGCTGAGGGCCTAATCCCTCAGCAAGCGACTCTTGAGGAATTCCTTCCTCAAGTACGTGGGGACTTATTCCCTCGACGTCTTCCGACTGTGGCTGTGCAACCACAGTCAGGAACCGATCCTCTACGGTCGACTCTCCAGTCGACCTAGGATTTTCATGTTGCCCCTTGGGGGCAACAGATTTCTTTCTTCTAAGATGCTGCCCGCTAGGTATGCATCCATGTCCCGGTCCACTCGACTTGTTCGAGTGGTGGACCTTCGGCGCAGCCTGTACTTCTGTACAGCCGCCGGGAGCTTGCTCCACAGTGTGGTGATCAACTACACTGTGACCTTGTGCAGTCGTGCTAACGACCGTACCGCAAGTGAGGCCATCGCACTCACTCGCAGAACATCCACACGCTTGTGGACGCTCCAAGATGTTCATCAGATGGCCATCTGATGAACAAGCAGCAGGCATCTTCACGGATCGATGCTGCCAGCTCACCCTTGGCTCGTATTTTCTGAGCCAAGGTAATCCCAGGATGACATCAAGTTTGTCATCCAGATCTAGTACGATGAAATCATCATCGTACTGCTCGCCCTCTAACGTGTAGTGGATTCCTACTACACGTTTCTCAACGGTTATCGATGCGCCTGTTGCAAGGCGCACCGTCATCCTTGTGAGGGGAATGTCGCGCTCAACGAACTTGAGCCTACGACCCTCTAGTGACTGGCGACGAACAAAGTTGTTCGACGCCCCACAGTCTACTAGGGCACGAAGCGACAAATCATTTGTCGCTTCCAACTTCAAGGTGATGAGCGAAACGTCATCACCAGGTGCAGAGACACACAATGATTGTGTATCTGGAGCAACTTTCGTCAAGAGATTTGCAAATTCTATTGAGGTTGCTGGATCAGTAGGGCGCTCCGCCCCTACTGACCCCGACCATTTTTTGATGGTCCGTCTCGCTGTTGCGGCTTCGCAACAGCGCTGGACCCACGCCCATTGCCCTTTCTGTCTAAAGGTCGTCCATTTCGCTCAGTACTGTTTGGTACTGGGCGTGGAGCACTACACTCGTATGCGTAGTGCCCTAACTTCTGACAGCGATTGCACCTCTGCAATCGCTTGTTGCTTGTAGAGCGAGGTCTCTCGCTCTCAACATAACAGAGGTCCATTGGTTCTGGACCTCCGATCTCTTGTCGTCTCGGTGGACGGCAAGAGTTTGAGCTAGCATGAGCCTGTCTCATGCTAAAGTCTTCCTGTTCCGCGGCTGATATCGCTTCTTCAAGCGTATTCAGCTCAAGGCGGAACAGGTGGCTCCTGACGGGCCCTTCTGCGAGCCCTTGCATGAACACCGTAATCAACGTGTGTTCATGAACTGGGTTTGCAGTTATACTACTCGCAAGGAGTCGTATATGTTGTGCGTAAGCGTGCACATCACGCTTACCCTGCTTGAGTTTCAGGAGCTCTGAACGAGCCCTGAACTCAGCACGTGGCGGCTCAAACGTTTGTCTGAGCCGGGACCTGAAGTCATCTAGCGACCTAAACACGTTTAGGTCGCTACTCTCGAGTCCCAGGGACCAAGTTTTGGCACGCCCTGCCAAGTGGGTCTGAGCAAATGTGAGTTTCATTTGCTCATCTTCGACGCGACGAGCCCTTAGGGCTCTGTCGAGTTCGACAAACCATAGTAACAGGGAGTCCTCCGGGACTCCACTGTACTTGGAGATGTCGACTTTCATCACTTCGGGACGACGCGCATGCGCCGTCCCGCCCACAGCAGCATGGAATTGCTGCTGTCTCAACAGCTCCGTCTGTTGAGCACCGAGTTCTCTCAACTGCTCGGCCTGTTGAGAGCCTTGCTGGTGAAGCAAGGCTACTTTCTCCCTCTCGAGAGCAAGTTCATTGTGAATGAACTTGGCGATAGCTGTATGTTGTTGGTCTCTGTCTAGAGACTCCAACATGGTGCTGACGACGAGTTCGCCTACGGTAGAACTCATTCGTTCTACCGCACCCCATTCGATGTCACTCAAATGGGTAATCCCTTCACGCGTGGCGTGAAAGGTGTCTTCTTCATCCAACATGTTCATGTTGGATGATGTGGTCCTTGGAAGGACTACAAAGTGCTACCAGGTGTAACGGGGCACACCCTTGCGTAACTTAACGCAAGGGATTTGGGTGCCCCGACGGACGTACACGTGGCGAGCGAGGAAGCGTAGGTAGGGTAAAAGTAGAACTGTTATATTAATAAATTAAGTCTTCAAACTACTGTCTCTTCGTTTGACTTAATTCAATCATACTAATATAACTGCATGTATGGTGACGTCTCGTCACCACTCATTGCGCGCGTCTTGCGGCGATTGGTGGGTTGATATCATCACGATATCAACCAATGAACAGACCCTTTGGTCGACCCTTCAATATCACCACTTTGGTGATATTGTTTAAAGAATATCCATCTTTATATTCTTTATTGTCACTTTACTTAAAGTGACAATTTCATGTAACGGGCTGCCCCGTTACAGGTACGCCCTAACTTGAAAGCAGACTGGGAATGGATACGGATAGGATGGCGTGGAAGAAAAGTGGATACTGGGAATGGAAAGGTCAGTGTTGTGTCCGGCGAAGTCACCTGCATATTCGATGAGCCTGCGTTGCATCAATGTATGTGGTTCTCGTGCAGAAGCGATTCTCAGATACCTCGACGCGCAATTGCACACACAGTGCTGCTGGCTATCCTTGCCAACCACATTGGAGCAGAGACAGGTACACACTCTGTGCGCTCCAGTCTCCTCGCGAGAAGACGTGAGGGATATAGACATCTTCAAGCACAGTACAAGCGATGCGTCATTATGACGTCTGCCGGTATCGGCATTCGCCACAAATCAGTCGGCTTCGTACGATGCAGGTCCGGTCCCATTAGGTTCAACGGAAGGTCACCAATGCCGCAGTTTCTTCACACGTATACTTCAATTGTATCTGCATCTGCAGCTCCCCACCTTCAGTGCAACATCGTTGACGGGGAATTATACGGTGGACGACCGTATAGCTACTGGAGGGTATATATCCTTGCGCGGTCGTACGACCGACTGAGCCAGGGTGCGGCAACCCAACATGGCTACACATACGTTACGCGACGGTATCTTCGCTGCGATAGTTTCTGCCACTAACAAAGTGCTTTTTTCTCCTTTCCCGCCACGATGCAGAGTAGGCGCTGCCCGTCCTCGCTATTTTTTTCACCTGTCCCCGCATGACGTGTCGAACGCCGTGTTGTGTATGCATGACCCGATGCTGCAGATCCTCATGAAGAGAAGCAGAAGGCACTGCTCTTGCGCATTACCGGCTCGGTCGCTCGATTGCACGAGGTGCTCAAAGAGATCAACACCCAAATTGAGGTGTGTCGTTCTCCGCTTTTTTATCGACGTGTGTGTGGCGATCCCATGTTGACCGACTCTCTGTGTTCGTACGCACGCTCAGAAAAGCGATTCGTTCCGGGATGACCTCACGTTCACGTGTCAAGTCTGGAAGGGCTACGAAAGTCGCGTGCAGTCACACTGTGATACGGCACTCACAGCAGCTCAAGAGCCGCAACGATAGGTGTGCAGTATGTGGGGTCTTGCTCCAATGGGTACTTGAATCTCTGCTTGAAGAGGAAAAAGCAGACTATCCAAGCGAGGGCGAGTGCCAATCACTGGTTATGACGTCTTAGGTCTCTCGTAGCTTTTGGGCTACTCACTATCTGGTCCGCAGCATCGGGGAGAGTTCTTGGTCGAGTTGATCGGCTGTGGTGTAACGTGGCACGCTTTTTTCCCTTCCAATCTGCTGTCTGCTCGCATAAAGTGCTTTTCTTTCACTGACCCCAGCGCGAGCAATGCTGCCATGTACCTGCGAAATGCGTTTGAGCTGTGGGTATCAAACGGTTGTGGATGGGCACCGGCCGACGCGACGCGTCCAGACTCAGTATCAAGATCCGCAACATGGCTGATCACAACATTGTTATGGACCGCGCAGATGGACACGTACGTATCGCTTGGACTGCTACAACGCAGCACTTCGCGTGCAAAGTGAGAAGGGTCTGGTTTCGGATCGGGCCTGTGAGCATACGTACAAAGCTATTGGGAAAACATCAAGCAAGTTGCCACACCATTACCAGACCGACAAAGCTCAGCCATTCTCCCTCTCGTTTGGTCGACTTCCAATGGCTTCAGCACACTTCTCGGCTCTCGATCGTTCTCGGGATCGACAGCCGCGGCTTTGACATCAGATTTGTGGGGCCGAGTCAATCTGCTCTCGTGCAGCAAAGTAACCGGTACCTTGAACCAGCACTAAAGACCTCAGTGCTCGTTCGTTCGTGCAAGTCAGGACGCTACCACTGACGACGTCATGACGATGTTGTCGGTGTGCACGACACCCACCGGTCTATGTCGCTGTGTATTGCAGCAGACAATCAGAGTGGGTCAGGCAAACCGACTACGAAGCAGACGGTCAGTCCATCGCACGCTACTGTGCAAAATCGCAGGAACTTGCATCAGAAATAACCGCAGCGACACATTGTGGCTGCAATGACCGTCTCAAAGTGCACGAGTCCGAACGCCCACGACCGTGAGACTCCACGTAAGCCTCCGACAATAGTCTTCTGCTTCCATTCGCGCTCTTCTTCATCCCCTGTGTCCAAAAAGACGGACGCTCTCCACAGCAACGCGTCGTGGGTTTGACCAGACGTCAGCAAATGGCTACACACACACACATCACTAAAAAAAACCAAATGGGCGCTTTTTCGGGGGTACGCAGACACACCCAGCGACCCATTGTTTCTTTCCACAAAACGGACCCAATCCACGTACCCCGCACCCCCACCGCTCTCCCTCACTCTCGCACTTGCACAGACACTTCCCATTGTCACAAAAGAGCGTCCGCGTGCTTTTTTAGTCCCGACCAAACCACCAGCGTACCCCACTTTTTTCGGGTCCCCCTCCCACGCTTTCGACACAAAGCTGAGCCCCCCGACCGCTCCACGACGGCCGCGCCATGGAAAGTCACCACGCGAGCGACAGCAAAGGCGGCCGCGGCCCCAACAACAGCAGCAGCAGCAGCAACAACAACAGCAGTAGCGCTCCCGCGTACAAAGACCGCGGCTCACTGGCGCACGGCGGACGTGGCCACAGCCACAGCAATAGCTACGCGGCCACGGGCGCTTTCCGCCGCGGCGCGTCCCACGCAATGGGCCCGCGCGAGTGGGAGCGCGACAGTCGCGGGCGGCCGCGCTCGCGCTCGAGGGACAGCACCAAAGACCGGCGGGCGGGGGCGACGGGCAGCCGCAGCTCGTTGGGGGCGGCGGGGAACGCGGCGCTGCGGCTGCGCGACCGGAAGCAGCTGCTGCTGATGCACCGCACAGGGGCCAAGTTGAAGGACCTGTCGCCTGCTGACGTGGCCATGCGCGTGATTGGGATGGACGTGAAGTACATGGAGGTACGGAGCAGGAGGTGGTGGGGGGGGTGTTTGCTGGGACGATGGGGACAATCGTACAGTGCTGACTGTGCTGACTGTGTGACTGTGTGACTGTGTGGCTGTGTGGCTTGTAATTGCAGGACGCTGCCCACCCGTACGTGAGCGACAAGTTGGCCATGTTCCCCAGTGTGTTCCCGACGAGTGCGAGTTTCCCGGAAGAGAAGTTTCGCGTCCACGCGCTGCGGAACGCCGCGTTCGTGAGTCCACTGCCGCGTGGGTTCAACCAGCAATGGCACTTGCAGTACTCGGCGTTCACGGACAAGAAACTGGCGATCTTTGACGACCTCACGCGGGCGACGCGCGCGATTGCGCGCTTGCAGGAAGACAGTGCGCACGACAGCGCGACACGTGCGCAAGGTGCGCCATCAGCGTCGACCGATGATGGAACGACAGCAGCAGCAGCGGCTGCAGTCGAGCACGCGTTCACCAACTATCTGATTCGCCACGTGCGGCGACTCGATGAACGCACGTGTCATATCTGGATGAGTGAACTCTCGAGCGGGGCTCGCAGTGCGGCAGAACTCACACAAGCACATGGCGTACCTTTTAAGCAGTGGCGGGCTGTGCCGGGTGTTTCCAAGTGCCCACTGCTCGAACTTGTGGTGAAGTATCGACCGGCGTACGCGGACGCTACGTGGTTTGTACGGATCAATGTCGTGTACACAGAAATGCGAGAGCTGCAGCGGGACGGCGCTATTCGGACAGGCGACTGGTTTTTCAGCCCCCGCCGCAACCAGCGACGTAGCCAAGGATGGACGGACAAGCTTATTGATTACCTCCACGTGGTAGTGCGTCAGGCAGCATCAGATTCGAGCGCAGCGGCGGAAAGCAGGTCGACAGAGCTCGCCTCGAACACGGCAAATGCTGTCCCGACGCCTTCGAATAAAGGCAGCGCAGCGGCTGCACCGTCTCAAGCAACAAGTAAAGGGTTGATTAAGCAAGGTACGCAGATGGCTCCGAGGCTGCGACACGGAGAGGTGCCAGCGATCGAAAACGCTGGAAGAGGCCCTGGAAGCCAGGCAGCAGCTAGTAGTGGTGAATTGGAGATTCCTCCGACAGCGCTATCATCGTGGTATGAAAAATGGTCATACGCACTCAAGCTGTCGGAATATCAGTTCAAGATGGGGATACTAGACCGAGTGCGCTATTTCGATGGGCTCCTATCGCTGCTGCAGAAATCCTTGACACCGCGATCGCAGCGCGGTTCAAATGGTCCCACGCGATGTTCGGCTGTGCTGGCACTTGGAGTGAACGGTATCATGGAGCTACTATCCGTGGTGCAGAAATTACTTCCAGAGATACTGCTTTCTGCGGATACAGTATTGATGCTCGTAAAGATAGTGTTGCAGCAGCTGCGGTACCTGCTTCCCCCTAGTTGTCCGATTCCGCCGGAGACAAGAGGGGGCTCACTTCAGGAAGAGCTTCTAGTAGCATTATGTCAGCTACTGCGAGACATCCTGCTGAATGGCAGTGATGTTCTCGTTCGTCTTGAGAACAACGGTGCGTGGTAGTGTTTGTCAGTCGACAAGCTGTCGTTGCTGCATACTTGTCTAACCTGATGTATATATGCACAGCACCACCATTATGGCCAGCTTACGTGTTCACCGACCGATTCTTCAATCGCGACGCTTACGGGGCTGCAGCAATACAGGCATGTATCGATCGCTGCCACAGGAAGAACAGGGATATTACAGGGCGCATTCTTCGACTTCAACAGGCGTGTCCGTCCTCGAGTTCTGTGGGCGGTGGTCGGGTGCTTGCCGCTGCGATGCGCAATGATGCACAAATCTTGCAGACTCTAGACCGTTTTCATCGCGTGGATTCGACCTTGGACTGGCATCGGGTCTATAGCGAAGTGTTCTGCCCGCTTCCTCTTGTAAGCCCTAGCGGCAAAGAATCGCCAGCTGACTTGCCAGTCGACATCGCTGCACTCTTCCTTGTTTGCGAGTGGGCAGTGACAAGTCAGCGCCCAGCAGAGTACCGGTATTTGTCTGCGCTCGCGTTGATCGAGATGCATAGCACCGCGCTTTTGAAATACGGCAAAGAGTACGTTTGCGTAGCAAAAAGCTGCAATAGTGTATGCTGATACATGTCTGATTGATTTTGTTTCTACAGCAAAGGTTTACTGCCTCACTGCGGACCAAAGGACCACCAAGTAGTTCTTCAGAGTGCTCTGCAAGATTTTTTGCAACGATACGAGCCTAAGGCGGTTACGGAGATCACTCAAGTTATCGAACTTTTCTGTCTTCTCGTGCGGCGTCGACTATTCAGTGTGCCAAGCTTTGTGAAATTCGCATCGAGCTGCAATGAAGCAGCGGCTTGCATGGGCAACAGCCCATTGCTTGCGCTAGCCGCAGGAAATACTGGCGTTACTAAGCGAACCGAGTCGGCACCGGTAGTTCACACCGCGTACAACATCGAGTGTTCACCAGGGCGAGGGTACAAATCCAGCGATGTGTATTTGCTGTCTTCAAACGATCGATTGAAGCTTTATATGTGGCAGCTTCCGCGAAGCCCGTTTCCACTGCCAACATGTGTGCCCATGCTACCAGAAGACAGCTACGATGGCGAGCTGAATTATCTGCGATGGCTCGAAGTGATGAATCTCCGTCAAGAACATCTCAGCCACTCGAAAACACTCGAACGTGCTCAATCACTTTGCATTTATGTATTTCACACGCACGGTCAGGTGAAAGACACACCGACTGTTGGAACACCGGGGACGACAGGTACAGCTGCCGGATCTGGAAGCGCGGATAGTAGCCGAGCACTACGTGAAGTGGAGTATCAGGGCAAAGTGGGTGAGCTGGTGTCAGCTGTGAAAACCATGTGCGGTCATGACAAAGGGCGGTTCACACGCTGGTTCCTGCACAACGTCTACGAAGAGACCACGTTTTTTCGGTTCTCCGATTATGGTAGCGTGGAGCACGTGATGCGGCTTGTGTGCCTTATACTTGAAATTGTGGACGTGCTGGGTCTTCTCGAGGTGCTTGTACACTTCCTGCGGCGTTCTCCGTGTTACCTTGTCAAGAATGTAGTTTTGGCAATGATCGAGCGCCACGAACTTGCGTTCTGTGCTACGGACCAGATCCCATTTTTGTTGCAGTCGTTCGTGGACCGCTTCCATCGTATTCCCAAGCACGCCGACGATAAGGCCGGGAATGTGGCTCAGTTTTTCTGCAAGATGTATTACGCGCACATCAAGAAGAAAGAGATTGCGAAGCTGGACTTGCCGTTTGCGCTGCTTAAGCCGATTGCAGAAACAGCTCGAAAAAACCAAGACGCAACCGCAACTGGAGGCACCGTGAATGGTTTGGGGGCTAACACGACTGGTGGCGGGACTAGCGGAAATTCGAAGGCCAAAGAGATGACGCTGGAGACTACGAACCCGATCGTGCGCATCCCACCGCCCCGCGAGGTGCTTCCTCCGGAGCTGAAGGGTGCACTTGCCCGGGCGTTTAAAGCCTTGCAAGCGCGTTCCTTTGATGGTCCTGGTGCGGATGGTAAGCAGACACCTGCGACTCCTGGCACTGGCGGTAGTACCCCGCTGCAGAGTCCGAGTAGCACGAATCAAGACGCTTCAGCTTCAGCTGAGCCCGTTGCAGCCTTCACGCCCAGTCACGCGAGCATGTCATGGCAGGAGGTCACTGGCGAAGCAACACCGTCATCGGAAGCTAAGTCGCGCGACAGCGCTGTCGACTTTGCGGTGGCTGCAATCAACATGAGCATGACGTCGTCTGCTGTGGGGTCCACGAACGCGAATGCGACAAGGGAGCGGCGCACACCTAACTACGTGTTCTTCTTTCGAGCTGTGCTGAGCGAGGTGATGGACAAATGGATGGCTAATATGTTGGCAAGAGTAAAGTCAAATTGCAAGAGACCCATCACGACTCCGCACTATGTGCACCGCTGCGTGCGTCTTATTCGAGAGGTGGTAGAACAACATCCCGACAACGGCGAGGAATTCAGAGAGAAGTTCGCCAACACTCTCGTCGTCTGGTTGCAGAAAGAAGTGCTGCCTGGTTTTGCTGGCAGTGACACGCCCAAGCGTTCGCGCAATCCATTTTTGAACGCTGACAACAGCAAGGAGGCTTTTGCGCTCAACCAGAAAGGCCGCCTAGACCGTGTGCAGTACGGACTGAAGAGTTTCCTGGTATCTTTGGCGGTGCATAAAGTGTTGAATCTGTCCCAGATGCTTCGATTGGTACTCGTGCCGCTCTTCCCGCGATTAGTATGTTTTTTGCTTATCAACTGGTTGCTACATTGAAGCGTACTGCTAACGACTCATGGCTGTTGCTATTCTAGCGCCGCGCATCCCGTGACCCGCCCCCAAATTTACCGACGCAGCTTCTAGCGATGGCTCTTGTCTTTCAGCTTTTTTCTGAACCGCCACAAAATCTCTTGCTGGATGTGCAAAAGTTGGTCATGTTTGACGAGCCTTTGGTAAGATTCCGTTTACTGCACGTCGTTATGTGTTGGATCTGTTCTCACCAATCGTGCGCGCTCGATATCGTAGACAAAGTATCATCTGCGTTTTCTGCGCACTCAGGTGCCAGCCTGCTTGATGTTCCCGTTGTGCTTCTTGCTGTGCCAGATCTCCTACCAGATGGAGGACAACTTCCTGCTTCGCAAACGCGAGGAGCGTGGCACGTTGGCTAGCGCCACTCTTTTCAACTTGACATCAGACGGCATCGTTCGCGACACCATTTTCCATGACACGAAAGAGGCCCGTGAGAAGCACATTCTCCCCGTGTACCACAAGAAGCAATGGCACACGGCCGTTCTGCTGACACATTTCTTCCGGCCGCCGTCATCGCCAGCAGAGGACGGAAATGGACAGGTCCAACTGCTGAAGGTGGGGCAAATTATCGATCAGATGAACGTCTGGACACTTCATCGTGGTGGCTCTATTTATCTCGACCTGCAAATGAGCCGACAGCAGCAGAAGGTAAAGCGCTCGAAGCGACGCTCACGACTTCAGCGCCAACAAGTGCCCACGCATCCAGCAGGTTGCAATAAGCGAAAAGCTCTTCAAGCTGATCCATCTACGCGCTTGACCAAGCGAGTAGCGGCAGATGGCAGTGAGAGTGTCGTGGCAGCTGGAGTGAATGGATATGCTGACGGTAGAACGTGTCTCGGTAGTCGAGCAGATACGGAGACCTCGTTCGGTGGCAGTCTGTTGGGCACCTTTATTCCCGATGGAGAAGAGGAAGCAGCTGACGGCGATCTTGAGCTTGAACTAGGCTATGACGAGGCAAGCAGTGCTACCGAAATTTTGTCGAGCCTGATTGTGCTGCGTACCCTGAAGCGCAGCTCACGACCGCCTATCGGGGCAGGGTTGACTGCGTTGTCATCGTCCACTGCGACGTCCTCATTCGTACCGGTGTCGCAGTCAACACCAGCAGCCATGACCAATTTCTCGTCATCGTCACCACTTGCTACTCCCAAACTTTGTAATACGCCGCACCAAGTTCATCTCGATGAAGGCAACGACGGCAAACAACGCGGGGGTACTTCAGGTCTTGATGATGACAGTGAGACAAAGACACCGGTGCAAGCGTTGCCTATGTCTGTCGCAGCAATGTACAATTCGTTGACCCCGTGCGAAGTTCGTATGCTTGAAGCAGCTCGAGAGGCGCAAAACTCGGCAGTGGCGTCTTTGTATGCCGCTACAGTTTGCAGCATCTCGAGACGCGCTATGGGGTCAGTCATTGCCAAAGCTTTGCAAGTGCTCGAAGACGATGTGAAGCACTCGCAACCTGACAAGTTTACCCGCCGACTGAACACGACGTCGGTTGTGCATCTCGTTAGTGGCATTATGTGCACGTCTCCTGGGAACGCATTTCTGCCACGCTACATGATGTCACTCGCCACCCAGCTCGAGTGGTTGTACGAGGGCTGTATGCTTCATGACAAGCAGCAACGATCTGCATTGGTTGAACCTGATCCACGCAACAACTCGTTACTGCGTCGACTTCGCTGCAAGCTGGCGGTGCGACTGCAGCTGGTAGGCGTGATCGGACCCAGCAAGCATGCTGTGATGACTATTTGTTATCGCGACCGCATCGTCAAAACTCTGTTTGCTTTGCTGGGTACCTCCGCAGTCTCGACTGGACCAGGCCTTTCACTCTTTAGCTGGATTCTGGACCTCATTCCAGTCGTTAACGCCTCGGTGCTTCACAGCCGACAATATGTGAGTACTGCTGTACGTGTTTTTTGCATACAAAAGCGCGGGATGCTGACCTTCTTTATGATGGATCACTACAGGAACTAGTCGAAGCATTACAGCTCCCCAGTGACCTCAAGCGACGTGTTTGGTGTGTGCTGCCACGTCCTGTGAACACGTTCGGAGCTGCAAATGTGTTTGTAAATTGCTCAGTGCAGACATGTGCTGCTCAGGGCAATGCTGAGTCAACGAGGGAGGAACCGACACACGCACCCGTCGATCCGTGGGGTTTGCTCGAACACCTGCCGCACCTACCTAGCGACGCCGTTGTTCCAGATTTGCCCACTCCGATCCCGAAACGGCCACGTAGAGTCTTCCGTTGCGTGTGATGACGCTAGTCGTTCTGATGTGTTTTCTACTGCTTCCGCGAGCACCTTCCATGTAGTTTCTTAGATAGCTGCTTTCTTGTGTGCTTGTGCCAGCCTGGTGTAATATGGTTCGGGACTTTGCAGGTGCAGCGCCATAAATATTTAAAGCAATAATTTATGTATTTGTTTGCTGATTGAGCAGGTAGGTACTGAGATCGAGAGGAGGCTCCAGAGCTCTTCCTCTGATCCACGTAATTCAGTTTAGGAAACTGCATCGAGTTTTGGGTTACCACGTACCATTTTGCAAACAGTTGTGGTTGACAAGTGAAGGAAAAGTTGCGTGTGCGTTGCGAAATGTACGACAAAGGTGCCATGTAAGTGTGCGATGAACAGGCCTCCCCATTTACGGGAAAATAGTACTTGTACCGTGAATAAGGTCCAAGTTGTCCCGTAAATAAGGGCCTTAGTAAAAGGTTTTTTATTTGGCGGCACCCTAATCTATACCGGCGCTCTTGCCTGTCTTCCCTCCTTCAACTCGCCCTCCCCACCTCCCTTCTCCTCGCACCCTGTCTCGAGCAAGCCTTATTACCAGCTTCACACTCAACTCCCGTGCTCCCGCTATGCCGCGCGCGACGCTGCGTACACCCTTCAACCCAGACCACCAAGTCAACTACGGACTTTCCATCGCAAGTCGGGACGTAGCCACGTCGGAGGTCGTTTCAGTAGATTGTCTCTTCTGTATTCACTTTGACCGAGAGGACACAGACACGAGCACCGCCCAGGAGGAACGGAAGCGGCGCAGAACCGAAAATATCAAGTCTTTCACGAAACCATTTCGAACCGACAATCACGTACAGCACTTCAGCCGCCAGCACAAGGCTCGCTGGGAACAATTCAAGATCCTGGTCAGGGACCAAAAGGCCACCTTTTTCCAAAGAAATGCACCAGTCAGGCACAGGAACACCATTCCATCGCACTTCGCCGGCAACCAGACGGCAATGCAGCTTTACATCAACAAAGCGATTGTTGACGTCATCATCGGGAACCTACTTCTCGACCAGGACGACGACGATGGGCTGCCGAACATGTGTAGGGAAAGAGCACTTAGAATCTTCGAAGATATCGATCCCAACACCGTTGAAGACCCTGGATTGGCCACTACCAAATATCGAATCGACATCTCGAATCCAAAGCAATTCAATCTGGTGGCGGGATTCCTCAGCACTGGAGTTTCCTTTCGCCAAGCAATAGCTCTGGTTACCATGACGAAAGAAGTCACCGACGTTGCGGAGATCGGCACTGCTAAGGATGAAAGGGTCGCTCAGTACGCTCGCTTTATTTTGGCCTTGAATCTGCAACATATCCACGACATCTTGGAAAATGGCTGGGCATTCTCAATAGCTTTGGATATGTCCACTCACATGTCGACTTCTTACCTGGATATCCGCATTCGGCCCTTCTGGCATGGCGAGACCCTCAACTTGCACTTGATTGGGAATCCGGTTTTCTGCAGGCATACGGCATCAGAACTGTACCGCCACGCTTCGGCAGTGCTGGATGTACTCTGCACTGATCAGAAGACTATGCTGATTTCAATCTCAACGGACGGCGAACCGCGAATGACCGGCCACATTGGCGGGGTGGCCACGCTATTTGAACAAGCAGCATTAGCTGGATTTTAAACGCATCTGGTGTGGTTTACATCAATTGGACTTGAAGTTGCGATCGTTCTACGAAGAATTGATGGACAAATAATTTGTGTCAATGCTAACAGCACTCATTGGATACCTGCGCCGTCAACAGAACCTGATTAACGACACGGGAACGAAATGTCGCACACTCGCAGAAACAAGGTGGGAATCCATGTCAAAGGTCGCCAGCTGGTTCAAAACGCACCGTGTGGCCATCAGAGAGTACCTGGAGACGAAGAACCCGTCCTGCAAACCGCCGCATGAATGGTGGGTAGTCCTAATGCTCGTCGAAGATGTGTCCGCAGCCACCACCGCTACCTTCAAGCAACTTCAAAAGGATGACACTCTGGTCTCGCGGCAGCGCCAAGCCATCGCCAATCTACGGACTCGCTACAAAGACTATGTCAAAGCAAACGGCCCATTATCTTCTGGACAGCGTGAATACATCGACATCGAGAGAGACGATGTGTCCAGCAACGATTTCTACTCAGCTCGTGTCGCAGATATGACCACGTTTCTGGAAGACATGGGTGGTTTTGTATCCAATCGCATGCAACATGCCGGGCAAGCCAGCATGGAAAACCTGGCAAGAAACTTGAGCAAGGGCCTGTTGAATTTGATCGCTGGGCTGGACGAAGTCGTGGCCGAACGAAACTCCCTGAATGGCGTTTCCTCGGACGTGTTGCCACCAGTGCTGCCGCACGAGCTGGTGACACTGAATGGACGTGACTTTACCGCTATTGTACGCGCACAACGTGAGCGTCTTGCTGCTCGTTGGGTCCCTATTTCTGCAGAAGCGACAATGGACTACATTGAAACCGAATTCCGTGATCTCAAAAATGCTTACCGCAATGAAACGCCCTTACGTAATGCATTGGACGGGTAAACCTACCAAACGCCCTTCAGCAAGGCCTGGAAACTCACAAGTGGTCGATCTAAGAAGCTGGAGATGTTTTGTGGTGGACTGGCAAGCACTTTTCCGGGAACGTCCTCTGTAGAGAGCGACTTCTCCATTCTAAAATGGGAAATAGACATCCACCGGATGAGCTTGACAGACTTTTCCCTGGAAGGCGTGATGCACGCAAGGCAGTTCAAGCTTCTGCAGAAACTTACATTCTAAGCGGAGACAATGAATACAAACACGGTTTTTTGCTTTCGCTCTTCGAGGTAGTTTAATTATGGACCCGTAAATAACCGTATCTAAGGTCGGATCTCGTCCCGTAAACAGCTTATTTACGGTATTTACGGGAGACCCGTAAATAGGGAGGCCTGCCGATGAAGCAACTTACGGATGTTGTCAATGTGCTGAAGAGACGGAGTAACGAACGATAAGCAAGACCTGATCTTGTCTATGCGACAAGGACAATAACAACAACAGCGTCAACAACAACTACGATGACGACGACACGAGATTGACAGAATCATAAACGATCGCTAGGGATCCTCTATTGCCGCCGAGCGAGCGAGAAAGGTATTTGGTCGTGACTTTGTCACTTGCCTCGGTCGCAAACTACGAATGTAGAAAGCGAGGTGTATGCCAATGATGTCTTCTCTGCGATGCTCAGTATTTGTCAATAGGTGCGTCGAAGGTCCTCCGCGAAGGCCATGCATTCAATACAGTCGCACACGCTCTCTCACGAGACGGCGCGTTTTGAGTGTATCTCACTCGTTCGACGAGTGCGCAAGATCGCTGAACTACATGATCATGACTACAAAAGACTGCCAAAAAGGCGAAGTTACGGTCCAGAATACTCAACGTAATTGCTGCTGCTCCGTTGGAATCTCCGATTGGCACTGTTGAAGTAGACAAAGTAGGAGTTGTTGTTGTTGTTGTTGTTGTTGTTGTTGTTGCGGAAGTAGTTGCACCAAAGAAGCTCCTGCGCATTCCCAGCACATGTTTTGCCATCAACGACTCTTTACATCACGCGCACGTCGATATTGTGCGACACATCCGAAACAATTGCAGTGCACTCACTACTTGCAGCGACCTGCGCGTTGTGCCTTTATCAATCCGTTATGACGTCCCCTTCCGCAAACGCCTCCTACGTTTCGCCGAAACCGGTAGCGAGCGATAATAACGTACCCATGTCGAGACAACATTTGACCCTTTTTCCAGTATCAACCAATCAAAAAGCCCACCGGCGCGACATTTGGCGCCAAGCACGCATAGCAGGATATGATGAGCTCAGACGGCGGCAGCAAGAAGAAGGCGGCGCCCAAGTCGCGCAAGCGCAAGACGAGTGACGCGGGCACTACGACTGGCAAGTCGCTTCTCGTGCCGGGGAAGCGCTTGCTCACCGACGCGGATTCCGCGCTCGCCGGGAGCGACTGCTACACGGACGTCCAGACAGGTCCAGCAGCTCAATTGAAGCCACTGGCGCGTGGCGAGTTAACGGACAGCAGTAGGTTTGCACGAGCCGGACGGATGGGTACATACTAATACTGATGACAATGTCAATGACTAACGCATGTGGTTGTGTGGCTCTCTCTGTCTCTCTTTCTGTCGGTTTGTTTCGGTGCTAATGTCCAGTTAAGCACATGCTCTTTGGCTTTGGCGACGCGAACGAGCCGCTCGAGGAGACGGCATACCTCATGGAAGAGTTTGTCGTGGAATACGTGCACGCGATGGTATGATATATATATATACATAGATACGCCCGCGCGCGTTATCATAACGCCTTACGTGTGTGTGTGCACTAATGCTCTGTCTTGTGCTATCTGTCCATCTCTTGTAGACGAAGAAGGCAATGGACCTTGCGTCCATCAAGGGCAAACTGGACACCGAGTGCTTTATCTTTCTCATCCGCAAAGATCCCGCGCGCTACGAGCGCGTTGCTGAGCTCTTGCGCGCGAACGACGAGTTCCGCGCGGCCCTGAATAGCGGCTTTGACCCGAGCGACGAGAAAATGTACTGACAAAAGCGCGTCTCGCGTCTCGAGAACCCAAAAACGCGCGTGGGTCAATCGATTCTCCCTGAGCCCACTGCTGTGTTTCGGGTGGGTGGTGGGTCTTTTGTGTCTCTTCCCTCGTTCTAGTGCCCGCCCACTCGCCGCCCGCAAGTCGGCCGCTGCTGAACTCCCCGCGCGCGCGTTCCCCCGTCGCAGCTGTTGCTGCCCGAGCCAAAGCGACCCGCCCATGCTCCTCGTGTCGCGCGACGCGAGGGGACGCGAGAGCTCTGTGCGGGAGCTGACGCAGTGGCTGTCCGTGGCAATGGCTCCCCCCGACGCCCGCCGCACGTCCGCATCGCCACGCGGCGGTCGCTGGCCGAGCGACTGACTATCAAAGCGATTGGAGGCCGCCGAACGAGCGCAAGTGGGCGACGGGTCTTTCTGCCCGTGACGACGAACAGGAGCGTCTGGTGGAGATGGACGAGCAGCTCACGGAGTTTGTTGACTATGTACGTTCGGACGCAGCAGCGAGTGGTTGGGGTCTTGTGGGGTGTTATTGTCGATCGATTCCGGAGCTGTTTGTTACGGTTCGGCTGTCGTGTTTTTCGTTGCGGCGAGTCGCTGATGTGGACGCTATGGTGTTGTGGTGTTGGTGTGGTGGTGGGGAGATAGCATGCGACGGAGATGGAGAGCTTGGACGTCGAGCCGAGCCAGGACTTTGATGGTGCGTGTGTGCGTGTGGGGGATATATAACGTGCTGGTGGATGTGGTGATGTAATGCTTATGACATGGCTTGTGTTTGGATTGGTGGAGTAGGAGATGAGGAAGCGTGTGACCTTGCGGATCAGTCGTCTCAGTACATGCAGTCGTGTTCGTGGGAAGACGTGACGGATGGTGAGGATGGTGTTTTGAGGATGGACGAGAAGAGAAGAGGGGCCGTGTGTGTCGACAAAGTGTGTTGTGGGGATGATGATGATAATGATGATGATGATGATGCTCTTCGGTGTTGTAGTAAACGAGATCCAGGAAGACGCGTCGGAAGTGTTTGACGGTACGTCGTCCGTTGTATATTGCAGTCCGTGTTGATGTCAACATATGGATTGAACAAGTGGCTCTTCTTTCTTGTAGACGTTATTTATGCCCCGCAGCGTACTCCAGTCCCGAATGGGAGTAGCAGCACGTCGATGTCCTGCAGACCGCACGAACGAAGGGCGTTTACCTGCCCTTCGTATCTGGCGAAGGCCAAGGCCATTCCCGAAGAGGACAAAGTTGTTGACCGACGTAGTGGAGACGGCAAAGGCTCGTTGAGCGATGCGTGTTGCGCTGGTGATGCGACATTTACCAAAGCCACGAGCGGGTTCCCAACGAGCGGTGTTGCTTCTGTTGGCGGTCCTTCCTGGCAAGATGGCTCTGACGACGCAACCACTGCCGTCCGATTGAGCGGCAGCGGTACGAGGCCGGTCGTGGCGTCTGAGGTGCGTGAGCTGTTTGTTTGTGTAGCTTTCTGTCGCTGATGCGCTACGACTGTTGGATGGGTTTGCCAGCCTCAATGGGAACAGCGACGCTCGGTCAAGCGTGATTGCTCTTTCCTCGATAACTCTCGCAGCTGCTCCGTGAACGGGCGGCAGCTGCTCACGACAGCCACCGCGACGTCCGCCACGATGGACGAGTCATGCGGTGGCAGGGTGATTGAGCTCAAGGACGGCTGTTTCGACTCGAGTGAGGGTTTCCAAGGAGGGGGTGCCGAGGCCCCTCGCAGCCATTCGTCGTTTCAGACGGACGCGATACCTGCTGCCTCGTCCTCCCTGCCTGGTGGTACAAGTTGGTCGATGGGTTTCCAGCCGCGATTGCCGCGAAAGCGACGAAGAGCTGATCAACTGACGCTCGACCGCTTTTTCCAGCCGAGACCGTCGTCGACAAAGTGACTACAGCAGACTGGATGCTGTGCCGTTTTTTTTCCTCAGCTGGCAGCTCCACGCAGAACGAAATCTTGTGATTGTCAGGCGCGTTGTTGTTGATGTTGTTGCTGCTGCTGTTGTTCCATCGCCAGTAGCGCCCGTCTTGTCCCGTCCGATCGTGTCGTTTTGTACAGTGTTATAGTTGTACGCCGAGACAAAAGGATCAGTGTACTGTGACTGTACGTGGCGCCAGTCGTGTCCCTCGGAATGGCAGGATGGGATACGATCGTACTTAGTCGATCACCCACCAACGCTGGCGCTCGTTGATCCAGTGAGTAGGCCGGCGGAGGGAGCAGTTGTAGTAACAGTCGTTCGTTGTGGTGCGAAAGACCACTTGAAGCGCTTTCGGCTCGAGCCCACTCACTCACTCACTCACGACCTCTGACCTCTGACCTCTCCCCCCCGCTGCAGCTTCGACCGTCTGATTCGATGGCGTACGTCACGCTCACGAACATCACAGTGCTCGATAACCCGACGGCCTTTACGAACCCGTTCCAATTCGAAGTCACGTTCGAGTGCGCCCAGCAGCTCGAAGCCGGTTCGTCGCCCCTCCTTTCCATACTACTGACTGACTTACCCACCCACCAATTAATCAACTAACAACTAATAAACTACTGACTCCCTCCTTAGCTGACGTTTTGACTGTTGGTGACGACGGATAAGCTAATGTAAGAACTAACGCGGTACCTGGTTGTCTTGTCCTGCTGACCTCTCTAGATCTCGAGTGGAAGATCACGTACGTCGGTAGCGCTGAAGACGAGAGTCGCGATCAAGTGCTCGAAGAAGTGCTCGTGGGGCCAGTGCCCGTGGGCACGAACAAGTTTGTGTTCCAGTCGGACCCGCCGAACCCGGACCTGATTCCAGACGAGGACAAAGTGGGCGTTACCGTGGCGCTCGTCACGTGCTCGTACCGCGGCCGGGAGTTTGTGCGGGTGGGGTACTACGTCAACAATGACTATGCCGACCCGTTTTTGCTGGAGAACCCGCCCGCCCACGTCGACATCTCGAAGCTGCAGCGCAACATCTTGGCCGATAAGCCACGGGTCACGCGCTTCCCTATTGACTGGTCCCCTGCCGGTGCTCAGGACCCGAATGCTATGGAAGATGCCAACAACGTTGCAGCCACGGCTACAGGCTTTGGTGCCATGCAGACGGGCGGTGGCAACGACCTGGAAATGGACTTTGTCGATGACGAGGAGCTCATGAAAGCCGCGGCTCAGCTTGACCACAATTATACGGACATTGTCATTGGCGGGAACACGGCCGACGGGATGGAGGAGGACATTGACTTGGAGGAAGAGGACGATGAGGAAGAGGAGGAGGAAGATGACGAGGCGAGTGCAGTCGAAGAAGCGGAGGAAGAAGATGCCGATGGTGACATGGAGATGGAAGATATTGAGCAGCAATGAATTGGTCAGTGAGGACCATCGATTGGGCTTGAAGCTTGTGCGTTGTGGCCGCGTGACCAGTGGGAGGAAGATACGATATTTATAGAGAAAAAACAAGATGGACAGTGCCGAGCGTCGCAGTGAGCAATGAGTGGCAGACGCTTCGAGGGAGGAGAGAGGAACCACGTGACACCAACGTGCGCAGGATAATGCAATTGTTTAGAGTATCGTTCGTATCGGATTATGGTTGGTTGTCTAGTCTAGTCGTTGCAACGGAAGCTAGTGCTCCCTCCACTGAGCATGTGCTTCAAACCCGGCTCAACCCGAGCTCATTCCTAGCGCAACTTGAACTCATGCAGCTTGCTGTACGATCCACTGGCGCCATCGAAGCGCACGTTGATGTTGATATCCAAGTCCCGCGGATTGAGCGCGTTGGGCTTGCACGTGAGCTCGCCTTCAATCACCTCGCCCGGGCTGCACGCGAGCTCTCCTTCCAGGTAAAACACAGTCTGCTTCCAATGTGTGTACTCGGCCTTGGGTCCCGTCGAGAAGTTCAGCTGCTTGTGCGTGGCCGAGAACGTGCAGTCAAAGTACGCCACGAGTGCATGGCAAAAGTCCTGACGAAACGCCGTGAGCTTGAACGTGGACGAGAACGCCAGCTCTTCTTTCGTCACCTTGGTCAGGTCAATGTCCAGAATCGGGCACACGTTCGAGAGCAGGGCGTCGCTGCCCACCGTGTCCACGAGCGGCTCGACCTTGGCAATGTCCCGGATGCAGCTCATGTCAAAGCCGTAGACATTGTCCCAGAACTCGAGCTTCTCTGCTTTGTACTCGCCGTCTTCAATCGCGCCAAGGTAGAGCGTCGCGTGGTCTGGAAACATGAGGCCGTCGGGCACGAGGTACTTGTCGCGCGCAAAGAGCACTGTGTCCAGCATGGACTCGTACAGCAAAAAGTAGCCCATCCACTCGGAGATGATAATGTCCACCGTGTCCACTGGCAGCGTGAGGTCCTCCATTTTGCCCTGAAAGAGCGTGATGCGGTCAGCAAAGCCATTGGCTGCGACGATCGTCCGCGCTTGGGTCAGAATGCCCGAGCAGTCCACTCCGTAGACGTGTTTCGCCCCGGCTTTGGCGGCAAACATGGACAGAATGGCCGTGCCACAGCCCACGTCGAGCACGACTTTGTCCTTGAACAGGTGTTTGCTCTGCAAGATGGCGTTCATGTAGGCCTTCGTGCGCACAGAGTCCTTGAGCATCTCCTCATGAATGCCAAAGTGCGAGTACGAGTCAAAGTAGTAGTCTTTGCTCGTGAGCTCTGCCGCTCGAGCAGCAGCAGCGGCGGCAGCGGGCGGAGACGTCGCCATCTCTAAGGCAGCAGCGACAGGAGGACGGGCAGTCAGTCGGCTGGTAGTCAAGAGGGTGGGACGGACGGACGGACGGGCACGTCCGTGACTGGAGGGAACGGTGGGGGGAGTGCGCGAGTTGATTGGACCACAGCGACGCCGTGGTGACTATGTCGAGGGAGTGTGGGCAGCTGCGTGGTGACAGGCGGGTGCGTACCTAGCGATGTGGTACACCCACGACTCGTGTGCAGCGATTGTGGCCGCAAGGTCGAGGATGGAAGTAGTAAGGGCCTGTCGAAAGCAGTCGCAAGGGCCATTGTGGCTGGACCTCGCAGGTAGAGCAGACGTCTGTGTCAATGATTGGCATTCAAGTGGTGACGACACTCCCGAGTAGCTAACTGCACGTCAATCCCAGCCAAAAGCGACCTAAATGGCACCGCGGTTGCCCGACTTCTTCTGCGCACGCGGGGCGGCGTTGCTGCCGCTAGGGCCCTTCTGTGCGCGCTCGGCCTTGTTGAGCGACTTCTTGGCTTTGCTGCGGTCCTTGGCCTCCTTCAGCGCCGCACGAGCAGCAGCACGGACTTCGGGCTTCTGGTTGCGCTTCTTGTGGATCTGTGGTCGTGTCGAGACAATCATCAAACAGGAAGGATCAGATAATCGTCAATGGTTGCTGCGTCACCATCTCTCCCCCCACCCAAGCACATCCATCGTCTCAACAGCTTTCTGCAACTACGTACGTCTTCAGCCGAAACACCGACGATCGCACGCTGGATCTTCGTGGTCTTGCGAGCACGACGGCGGGTCACGTCTTCCATCTGTCATAGTTGGTCCAGAGCCAGCAGAAAAACACCACAGTCAGCGCTCGCCGACTTTCTTTTCACCTCGGCGTTACCACCGCCTGCCACACACCTTGAGCTTCTTGTTCATACGACGCCAGCCCAGCGTCCACACGATCTTCGTGGCCTTCTTGCGCTGCAAGAAGAGCGACTTGCTCTTCGAGTTAATGAACACGTACGCCGAGCCATCGCGACGGATGTAGCGCGAGCCGTGGCCAGGGTAGATGCGGCCCTCGCTGAACGAGCACGTCTCGGTCCTGAGGGCACAAGCGCGCACATGTTAGAAGCGCTCTTCGGTATCAATTGCGCAGCTGGCAACCGGACCGCTGCACTGAGGAAGGCACACAGGTCAGGCGATCGACGCGATCGATAGCTGATCTGCACATGTACACAGCTTTGCGCGTGACGGAAAGAGGCCACTGCGTGTCACTGCATGTCACTGCATCTCTGTCTGCTGTCTGCCTCGTTGTTGCCTCATTTACGTTCGCATCGGCTGCGCGTGTACTTACTTGATCACCATTTTGCTGCAGTCTTCTCGGGAGAATTTATGCCAATTGAGCTACTGGACGGGCTTTTAGGCGGCGCACCACACTATCGTTACTTCACCCGGGCTGCGGCGAATTGGCTGGCTAGAAGGCGCTTACTTTACCGCTTACTTCCCAGCGGACAAAAACACGGCTGCGGTCACGGTCCGCGGTTCACGCGTCCGAATGCCTTTTTTGCGAAAAGTCTGTTTGCTTGTTTTGGGTCAGTGACAATATTCTCGATCGACGACGGTCCGTTGTTCGCTTGTATTTGGGCTGATTTTGCCGCAAGAAGGCCGCAACGACGGGAATGATGCGTAATGAACGACATGTTCGGTCGTTCTGTACATTGCCATTGTGTGGTCATGCGATGTAGTTCAAATGGGGGTGTCGACATATTGGGTATACGGTTTTGAGCATGAACTACAACGGAGTGTCAATGCGCAAGAGACCGTCGAGTTATGTGTCCTGCGCAATCACGATAAGTTGATCGAGGCGACCACTGCAGAAGATCGTTGAAACGTCGCAGGAGAAAGTCTCGATGAACGAGTCTCGTGAGCGTTGTCACGCCACAAAGCTATGTCTACTGCAGCTTGAAGTCCTGCATTCTTCTACTGCTTTCGCACACTCGTTGACTTACGACAGCGTGGTCACGGGATAGCGGTGCGGCTCATACCACGACTACAGTCAATAGACGGAGTGAGTTCATGGCGTTCGATGACGTCCGTCCACATAGTGTCAATTGACACGAGCTGCGCACCCAACACGGCAATTGCTCTCCGACACTTGCAGTTGTATATTGCGTACAGAGAAGAAAGTGACAACGGCTTACGAGACGGGGCAGCTTTGTCATTTCGAAAACTAGCTACAAAAGGGTATCTGCCAACTAGTCATGCGCTTTTGAAGCACGACGTTCGCGTATATCTCGACCAAGTAGTCAATCTTTACATTGCGACCAAGGGCTCTATCGTAATATTTGTAGTCCACAGCACAGCACAGTCGTACGTACAATTAATCGCTATCATGTGACAGTCCCATCAAGTGCAGTACCAATCCGCGCAGCATTGAAGCAGACGACGAGCAGTTGAAGTTCGAATGTCGCGCGAAGGTAAACAATGACCCGATGGCACGCCACGATGGCGGCTCAACTCGGCCACCGGAGCAGCCGCAGCGCTCGACGCGTCTCCCACTTCCAACGCACTGCTGACCTCTGTCGTGTTCTATCAGAGGATCCACTGGACGCGACGTCCGTGAAGACGGCGGTGCAGTCGTCGCCGTACGTGCAGACGCACACGTCCAGTCGAGTGATTAACTTTGGCGTCGGTCAGCCGTCTGCGTCGCTGCTGCTCTCTCTGAACACATTGCGCGACGCTGCGCTCGATCGGTTCACACCGAGTCAGGACCCACTGATGCTGCAGTACGGAGCTGCAAAAGGATTTGTCGGCTTTCGGGAGCAGATTGCTCAGCTCGTGGCAGGTACAGTACAACTGATCGCTCGCTCGCTCGCTCTATCTATGTATCCATCTCCATCTCCATCTATCTAACTAATGAATCTCTCTCTCTCTGACTGCTTGTGCTCTTTGTGTGTGGATACGTAGGCACCACCTCAATGGAAGCGGTGGACCCTGACACGCTGATGGTGACTGCAGGCAATTCCCAAGCCATCTCACACGCTGCTCTGGCGTTCGCCAAGACCAACAAGTGCGTGTTTGTGGAAACGCCGACGTACTTTTTGGCCCACGAGATTTTTCAGGAGCTCGGACTCGACCTGGAAGAAGTGTACATGGGAGAAGATGGCATTGATGTGCGTGGTGTGTTTCGTTTTGTTTGTTTGTTGGTGTGATTGTTGGCGTGTTTGCAACACTCGTGCCGCGTCGTGGTGGCTGCTGCTTACAGTGTTCCGGTTGTTTCTATAGCTGGACGCACTAGAAGCGAGGCTGGACGCAGGCCGCGTCCCGGCGTTTCTGTACACGATTCCGTTCTTCCATAACCCGACGGGCGCTGTCATGTCTGCAGACCGTTGCAAACGCCTTGTAGCTCTCGCGCAAAAGTTTGGATTCCGTATTGTTTCGGACGAGCCGTACAATTTGCTTCACCTACACGGCGACGCGTTGCAGCCTCTCGCGTCGTATGACGACTCTGGTTTGGTTGTATCGCTCGGGAGCTTCTCGAAAATCCTTGCGCCAGGACTTCGTCTGGGTAAGACCTTGCGATTGGATGTATCGTTGTGCCAGGTAGAAGTAGCTGCTCACTTATGCGTACTGACAGGTTGGGCGCAAAGCAGCAAAGCAACGATCGACCAGCTGTCGAAAATCGGTGCGCTTCGTAGTGGCGGCGGTCAGAATCCTGTCACTGCAGCGCTCGTTCACTCCGGTACGCGCGTTGCTGTTATGCATTCCCAATCGCTCATTAGTGACTTACTTGATGCTACTGCGTGCCATGCTTCGTGACGCGTGGCCAATGAACAGTACTGAAGCAGGGCCGTTTGATTCCTCACATCGACCACTTGAGACGTGTCTTGAGATCCCGCAAGACCGCCATGTGTGCTGCCTTGCGTGCGCATTGCCCGGACGTCGTCTTTACCGAGCCGTCTGGCGGGTACTTCATCTGGCTGCAATTTCCAGAAGGAGTGCATACGGACTTACTACTCAAGGAAGCCGAGGCTCGACATGGTGTGGCCTTCACGCCCGGCACACGGTGCTCGATGAAAACTGCGTCCGGCGATGGAGCTGGTGAATCGGTCATGAACACAGCTGTGACACGATGTGCGCGCTTGTCGTTTGCGTTCTACAGCGAAGACGAGATCCGCGTAGGTATCCAGCGGTTGCAAAGCGCTCTTGCCAGCTTGGAGTAGTTTGTGCAGAAAGACCGACTTGAACAGGTCGGATCGAAACGCAGTCTCGGGCACGAGAAACAGCAAACACAATGACAGATAGGAATATCGGGTTCAACGACATGTCGTGCAGCGGAATGACATGTCACTGTGTTCGACCACTGCAATGTACGCCAATGTTTACATCGGATCCCTTCATTGGCACAATATGACGCCAAGAGACAGTGCTGTTTGTGCCCCGCAAGAACGCGCTTGCCAATCAAATCGTGTGGCTGAACTTCAAAACTGAAGCAAAACTCGTCCGACGCGACGGTATCCAAGTATCCAAGTGCCATGTCGCAACCAGACATGGTGACCAAGTCAAAGAACCCAATGGTAGCGACGACAGCAGGCGCCATCGCCGGCGGCATTGAGACGCTGAGTATTTGGCCCATGGAGATGATCAAGACCAACTTGCAATTGGGCACGATGCGCGCTCAGTACACAGGAATGGTCAGTGGCTTCCGCTACCACATTCAGACGGATGGCGTGGGATCGCTGTACCGCGGACTGGCGCCTGTGCTCGTAGGGTCGATACCGAAAGCAGGTATCCGTTTCGGGGCCTTTGACTACATGAAGCGAAAGCTCGCGGACGAGAACGGCACAACATCAGCCACGCGGAATCTCGCAGCAGGTATGATGGCAGGTGCAGTCGAAGCCATACTCGCCACCACACCAGTAAGTAGCTATTATCTGACGATCGGCACAGTCAGGTCACGGTGTTTGAGCTCCTCGTTGTCGCAAATGGCTCTGTAGATTGAGACGGTCAAGACCAAGCTGATCGGTGCAAACGCCGGTGTGTGGGAAGGAACAAAGCTGATTGTGGCACAGGAGGGTCTTCGTGGCATGTATCAGGGGCTGTGGGCAACGATTCTGAAACAGGTGCTTGTGCTTGCTTAGTACAATCAATAGGTAGTAGCATTGCGTCTGACGGAGCGACTGATCTGTGTCACGCTTTATGGCTCGGCAGTCGACAAACCAAGGCCTGCGCTTCATGTGGTTCAGCGAGTTCCAGAAGCATGTTAGCCCGGACTTTCTCGAGCGCCATGGGGTCATCCGTGATGCACAGAATATGACTGGTAGTCAGCGCGCGTCGCTGAGTCTCATCGGTGGCATGACCGCCGGCATCTTTAGCGTATTCGGCAACAACCGTACGTCAGAGCGTCTCGTGAACTCGCTTTTGCCTGGAATAGTGCGGCTAACGCGTGGTTCTGGTTGTGCAAAAACAGCATTTGACGTGGTGAAGACGCGAATGCAGGGGCTGCAGGCGCAAAACTACAAAAGCACATTGGATTGCTTCCACCAAATGCTTCGGCACGAAGGCGTCGCGTCCTTCTACGCTGGAGTCGTGCCACGTCTCGGCCGCGTGATTCCCGGCCAAGGCATTATCTTCATGTCGTACGACAGCATCACACAGACCGTGTCACGCTACTTGGAGGGCTAAACTCGCACTGCATCATCGATATCAGCAGCCGATCAATCGCTCGCGAGTGCGTTTGCCACTCGGTTTCCAGATGTAGTAAGAGCGTGGCGGATGAACGAAGTTTATCATTTACCTCGACACATGTGGAGAAGTTCGTGTTAATGCTGTAAGCCAGAGATTGCGCTGATCGGGAACATCGAATATCGCTCTTTGGTTCCGGCGAAGAAGAAGAAGACAAAGCAGGACCTCATGACAAGCTCATATTTGGCCATCGCAAGACGCGACATGGGACCTTAATACCCGCGGGATCCTCCATTGAAAAAGAGGAGGTAGAGCACTCCTGTGCACCGTTCGATAGGCCGTACTAGCAACGATGGTGAGACGGAGAATGTCTAGCGAGTCTCGCACTGTTTGTCAGTGGTCAACGACCAGATGCGACTGCTGTGGTCGTGAGAAGCGGTGGCTGTTACTGACGCATTGCCAACTTGACGGATTGTTTACCCGCCTCTTTTGTTTGCTTCCTTCTGATACAGTGCAGCCATGACAGACTGAACGTGTGCGACGAGAGCGAAAGAGGAAGACGACGTCACGCCATTGCAACGGAAAACACAGCTAACGTCCCGTACGAGCCTTTGCTATCGTCCGGGTTAGTTCATGTGTACAGCGTGCAAAAGGTGACCACTCTGCTGATACTGATGGTATCAATCGGGCATCGTGCCACCAGTGATGCGATACAGTAGCAGACACCGAGCAAGGAACTGCGTGAAGCACGTTCACGAGTGATGCGTTCATCGCAGGTTCGATCCATTGTAAGACATGAAGAGCAGTATGTATACCTGGGAACTTCGCCTCGTCCTTCAGACTGTGATCGGTTTGCGGGCGATAGACTTCCACGAAGCACATTCGGCGGACTATCCAGCAGCTCTTCTGGAAATGCCGTCGAATGCAATGTATGTGCGACGCAACGTCTCCGGGTATACCACCTAAGCTCAAAGCTCGACTGCAGGTTCACTCCACGATTGAGCTTCGCAAGCCCATTCAATCATAGTACTTGTTACCAACCAACGACTCAACGATTGTGCAGGGTGCTGCTCTCTCTTAGCCGTGTTCTACCAGTCCTCAGCAGCCCCAACGACTATAACCTGCAGTCCATTCCATCGATCACCACGATCGAGACCTACCACCAGCGACAACAGCCTCACCCAAAGTCGTACCGAGGCCGCAGGTTCTCGTACACGCGGCGCAACATCCATCCATCCGCGGGGGTCACCTCATGCGCAGACCCTGCTTTCATAATGCAGACGGGAAAGTCTTTGCTCGGCTCTTCCTCGGGCTTGTAGAAATCCGGGAGACCAAAGCCGTGTCCCATCTCGTGCGACACGATCGTGAGTTGCTCGAGATCTAGAGACGCCAGCATATTGTGCGCATCGGCACGTTGGCCCCAGTCCCCACCAGCGCCTCCGCCCTGGCCGAGTGTCGGCCACAGCGACATGTCAAACGGCACGCTCTTGCACCCGCTCGTGTCGCTATGGGCGGCCGAGTCCTTGTGCTTGTAGCAATTTTCCGGACACTGCGGGACGCCGTCGACGTCCTTTTCCGTCGAGTGGATCTCGCCGAGCGAGTCGTCGGACCAGTCAAAGAGCGCCGCATCGCGCGTGGCCCACCCGACGATCTTCACGTCGATCGTCTCGTACGGCCAGCAGCCGTAGCCCACGAGCCAGTGGTTCCACGCCTTGAACTGGCGATTGAGCATTGGTTCAAACTTGGACGCCACCTCCTTCGAGAGCTTCTCGGTGCTGTCCCAGCGCACGCAGTAGCTCAGCTTCCCCTTGTTGCTCACGATCTGGTCAATGATGTAGTTCTTGAACTCGGCCGAGCCCTTAGCAATGCGCTCGGTCCAGATCCAGTTCACGTCTTTGGTCGCAATGTACTCGCTCGGGTTCCCGATGACGCACTTGTCGTCGCCGGACGTAATGTCACCGAACGGCGCATGGCCGTCGTCGGTCGAGTTTCCACTTGGCGACGGCGTGTCGCCACTAGACTTTGGTTCTTCAGGTTTTTCTTCAGGTTCTTCATCGGGTTCTTCGCTGCTTGGAGGAATCCCAGCAGAGCCGTCGGGTTGTTTCCCGGCATCGTCCGAGTTCTCGTCTTCGGGAGGCGTGGGACTGCTGACCTCCGGCTTATCGGAAGTGTCTTCGCTCACCGACCCCTGCTCGCCTTTGAAGTCGACTGCAGGGAACGGGTCGGTCCCAGGTGTGTGCACGACGTCTGGCGTTTTCGAGCCTCTGTAGAAACACTTTGCAGCCGACGTGACGGTAGTGCGAGCGACGAGCGCAATGAGCACAGCAGTTAATAGCGGACGCATGGAAACTGGACAACGTGCTGTCTTGAAGGCGAAAGAGCGAATGAGCAGAAGTTGACGGGTGGAAGAGTTTTGAGGGTCTCTGCGTGCACCTTTCGAGAGCGGTATTACGAGTATACCACAAGTACAGCATCGCACGAAAATGGAGAGAGCGAACGAGCGAGCGAGAGACCTCGTGACTGTCTGTTTACATACAGATGCGTGCAGGATATCTGGAGAGACATGCGCCAGGGCCTCAATCTCGAGGGGTGGACCGGGGTGCAGGTGGGACTAACCTCCATCCTATCCAACCTCAGTACAAGTCTATCCTCAAAAGGGCTCTCAGTGCACCACCACCGCTGCCCTATCCAGCAGTAGGGAAGAGGATAGGCGCCTGCTATAGACGGTCTGCACGATGTGGCAACCGCGTCGAACGTGGGGACGCCGTCATCACGAATGGCGGGCTATAGGGTGCAATGAGGAAGTCGCTTGACCACATTTGGCAACAGCGTAAGGCACGGTTCAAGCAATGAGGAAGTTCCTGGGTCGAGAGAGAGAGAGAGATGGCATTGTTGGATGGGTCGCAGTTCAAAGACAGCAACGACTGTACCGACACCTGCTTGACGGGGGTTCCCATATATGTGTCATGGATGATGCATGGGCACCACTTCCCTTCCAGTCGCCATGTTATCAGGTATCGACATTCCAGCGACGCCAAAGATCCAAAGTCTCGATAGTGTTCAGGAGCACCTGTTACCACCAACTGTGTGTCGAAGATCGACTTGCGAAAACCTGTTTTCTTTCGGAACGTATGGACAACGAAGTGACTGCGCGGTGGGTCTGCAAACAAAGTGTACAGCAGCCAATCTTGGATACCAGCAGGCCTCGATGGTGCAAATTTGTTGCGGCTTCGCCATCCGCTTCCTCAACGATCCCGCAATGGTTTCCACGCCCTCTGTTCCCTTCGCAAGCATAGAGAGGCCCTTGCCACGACACTTTCAGACAGCTTGAAGGATACCGCAGGTTAGTCGCACGGACTTCGCTCGTGTCGATGGCTCGACCCGAAGCGACATCGAGTAAGCGTGACTGTGTTCCGACGCAACTAGTGCGCTCGTGGCCTGCCCCTTACCGATGCTGCATACCTCATGTCGTGCCGTTGTACAAACACTTCGGTGTGAAACAGCCTTCGAAGGGCTTTTGTCGTATCGCCTCGTCGACGGCTGTTTGGCTGTTCAGGTCGGAGAAAAGTGCGTCCGCTGTAACATCGTCACGAAGAGGACATAGACTCGACGACTGGATCTTCCGACACGAGTACCGCGTGGCCTATCCTTTCCTCGCGATGCTACAGCAGACACGTCCTTCTTCGGCAACATAGAATCCGCTCGATGTCCATACTTCAAAGGCCAGCAACATCGCCGCCGCTACGCAAGTGTTTGGCTTTTGCTGGAGGTTCGTCGATCATTGCAAAGCAAAAGGGTGTCGAGGCTGTGCTTTCGCAGCAACAATTGTCTTCTCGGGTCTGCCTGACTGCCTGCTTACGCATCATAGCGAAGCAGTCATGACTGTGATCAGTCAACATCGTAGGGCTTGCTTCTCTCGGACCTGCTTGCTGACGAGTAGTTGTACCATACCTACCGAAGTCCTGATTTAATTTGCAGACGTAGACTCGGCCTTTGCGGCATTCCCCTACTGGTGTCATGTCGTCAAAGCGTTTGCTCAGAGCGATCAGATCGGGTTCACGAGTCGACAACAGGAGGAAAGCTTCGTATCGGACTACAAAAGGCTTGGAAGAGCCACACTGTATGCAGCACTCGCCGTTGCCTTTTCACCATTGACGCCACACTCATTCCGACTTGTTGCTGACCCGACTGCACCATCCGACTGCAAACAGTCTGTTTGGTAGCAATATCTGATCTGGTACCGCAACTCGTTACGCGTTACAAGCTGTAAACATCGAGCGTAGCACGAGAGACTTTGCCTATCGTTACCGACGATTACAAACGATTACAAACTTGTCCACTTTACTGAACGCTGTATCGGATCCCAACCACTCCCACAAGCACACGATCGTCAACGAGTCAAAAAGCCATAGCGCCACGTTCACGGGCGACGAGCGTTTACATGTTTGCACAACACTGAACAAACACGTAAACATCCTGCCTTCTTCTACGTGCGGGTTTACCCATGAAACACATCGGTTCTGTCCTGCAGCTCAGGATTTCGAGAACAAGCAGTGCGTGCACTCATACGAGCATACCGGTGCAGGATGTGACACTGTTGAGCTGAACTCTGATGCGCTCTTGGTGTGCTTGCTTTCTTCCCTTGAGCTTTTCTGGATCAAGAAAGACGTAGCTGTGTACATCAAATGCGTGCTCTCCTGGCTTGCAATGTTCCACGATCATGCGGACGATCGATCAAAACACCGATCGCGTGGCACATACGTTTGCCTAAACTGACGAGTGTCGCTGATAGGGACGGATTCAGTCAGTGTTCAGGTGTTTGAGAAAGATCGACAGCGCGTTTCAGTGCGTCCTGCATTGCCTTTGCTTCAAGAGCTCGTTCAGAGTTCCCAAAAGAGAATATCACCTCTCATTGCCAACCTCAATAGCTGCTCACGACTGACCCTTGCACTTGTAATGACAGTTGGCAGATCAAGTCGCCATCGTGTTCGATTTCCTTGGCAAGATGAGGAACATGTACTGTGCGGTGTCCACTCATGCGTTGTCTGCCGCCACTATCTGTTCGCCGAATACAACCCCTCGATGCACATGATGGCAGTAGATCGACCTGTCATTACCTTTGCTACCATTTTCCGTGACACGATCAATCGAGCCTTGACAGCACAGGTACGGGGCATCCGACTTTGTAGCCGCATGGGCCACCTTTTCCACACAAGACCGAAGCGCAAAGTTCGCGTTTTTGCATATTCTTTCACGCGTAGATACCTGCGCGAAAGATGCGATACTGCAATCCACGTAGTTCCAGGCACGTGCTTGCTCTGGGTCATTGTGCAAGCCGTGCTTCACGACTCTTGGTATGGCCAAATGTGAAGAAAAGCATACCCTGTGTTGGCGAGACTTGATCGCGTGAAGCTGTGGTGCGTCTGTCCAGAATTGTAAGAACGGGATGGAATATAGGGGCTTCTCCACGTAACAGTTGCCAGTAAGACGACAACAAAATACCTGCAACGAACTGGAATGGTGTCGATGTGATTTCCTGGTGTGACTAAGAAAGCAATGGCAAAATCAGCTTCGTCAGGCGTCGATCATTCATGTACACCCTGACGTGGAACGACATGTCGGTCCCTGAAAGTGACTTGCCAGGAACTGTCCTGTCGAATCAAGCTTCTCAAACCATATTTCAAACCCACAAAACAACCAACTGGCTACAAAAAGATGCGGAGGCTAGCTATTTTTCATCCACTCATTGTTCATCTGCCTCCTACACACAGCCACTCACGCGCTTTCAATTACCGCAAATCAGCATTGTCCAGCTTTTTCTGCAAGTCCACAAGACACTTACGCTACAAACGTTCACTTAGCGAAGGTACTCGAAACAGCTCGATGCATACGAAACATGGGTCTTACCTGCCATGGTGCCAGCCGGTGCGACGAGCTATAGCGCTCTACTGCTGTCTCAAGAATGTGTCGCGACCACTTGTGATAAGCTTTTAGTACGCTCGATAAAAAGCAGTCCATGTCACTTGATCGGTGTGTGTCACCCATGTACTCGGTGAACCGATTGAGCATGTTCTCCGCACCAGTCATGTCAAGCTGGCCAATACGACAGAGAACAGCATTACCGTACGCTTCATTGGCAAGCTCGTACTGCTCATTCTCACGTTGAATGTCACCAACGACCTCGAAACACTTCCTAGCAAACGACCACAGACCCGCATCGGCATATACCTGCGCCGCCCGTACGCCATTTTCAGCAGCGTTGTGCACGCTACCACCAGCTTCGGCGACATTCTTGGCTTGCACGTACAGTGCTGCGACTTGCTTGGCAAGCTCAGTCGTTTTGCATTCCGTAGGAAACTTCCGTTTCAACCGCAGCGCCAGCTCAGACAGTCCACGTGCCGCTTCATCAAAGTACCCAGCTGAAGCCAACTCGTCGCACAGCTGCTTAATCTTACGCACCAAGTCACTTTGCTCGCTCGGGTACGTCGCCGCTTCTTCCAATGCACACCACGCTGCTTCCAGCTCGTAGTTGGCACGTACCAGCAAAGCACCTGCAACTTTTGCCGCCTCGAGGAATAACACTGCAGCGGTTTTCCAATCCTTTTTAATCTTCGACTGCATCGCTTTCGCTCGAATCTGCTGATGCGACGTCGTCGCGACGTCATCGTTCACAAACCCAGTCGGACATCCACTCGACATTGCTACTTTCCGTCGTCTCAACAATCCCTCGGCACTCGACCCGGCACTCGACCCGTAACGACCTCCAGCGCCATGTACCACGTACTCTTCAATGCTCGACACAGTACCACCTCTCGAGATTTTCATGACCCATGGCGAATGGCACAGAGACGTGACATACGCACCAGCTTCGTCTGCCCAGCGCCACGTGCCAAAGACACCGAACGCCCAGCGCTCTCTCGAGGGTACGTGGACGACACTAAACACGAGTGCATTGTGGAAGCGCCACGTCAATGGCTCGTTGCACATCAGTGCTTTGGCCGTGTGGTACACGGCCGAGAACCACTTGGAGACGCCAACAGACGACGCATCGGGCACGAGGTCTCGCGGTTCGTTCTGCTGGTTGATCCACAGCGCAAACGAATGGTCCGACGGGTTCGTGGCGGCCGCACCGGCGAGCACGGCACCCACGAGGACAAATAGACGGCTCAGTGAAGCCATGAGCACGGGCAACAGTGTAGCCATGAGAAACATGCCAAAACCTGGTGGAAAAAACACATTCAAAAAGCAGCAAAACACATCCAAAAAGCAGCAAAAAACGGCAAAAAAACAGCAAAAAAAGCAAAAAACCAACAAAAAAGCAGCATAAAACACAATAGGTTAGAACCGTGTGCCGTGCCGATGGACATATATGTATATATATATATCGTTGCTGGTTTCGCTATCACGTGCGCGAGCGTAGTAGTGCATGCAGTAGCGTACAGATGAGAAAGAGAGCATTGTGGGCGGTCATGGGCGCGCGAGTGTGCGGCGCAGGAGCAGCAGCAGGCGGCGGCGGCGTCGACGTTCTCCACGCCATCGTCAGAATCAGACGCACAACAAACCAAACTGCACCAACAAGTGAAAAAAAAGCGGTTTGGTGGCGTCCCGAGTCAACTGCCCCACACGGCTTACAGCAGTCGTCGCTGGAATCCGACGAGAGACACGACACAAAAACGGGGTGCCAGGCCGATGGTACACTGTACCACCCACAACACGACCAACCGCGTCGAGCAGCTCTTGCGACGGCCAATGGCGACCACGGCGACGACGACGACGACCGCGAGGCGCCAGGACGGCCGCAACGGCAACGACCTGCGGCCACTCGCGTCGGAGCAAGGCGCGCTCTTCCGTGCGGACGGATCTGCGCGCATGTCGCACGGCAGCAGCACTGTGTTGGCCGCCGTCTACGGCCCTGGACAGGCCCGCAATTGGCGCAGCGAAAAGAGCGATCGCGCGACGGTCGACGTGTGTTTCAAGCTCGCGAAGGGCGTGTTGAGTACGTGTACACGATAGTGTGTTGCCGCCGGTTGAAGTCAGTGCATGTGGTGGCAGGTGCTCATATGGCTGTGGTATTGGTGGTATGGCTGTTGCTGCTGTTGCTGCTGCTGTTGCTGCTGCTGTTGCTGCTGTTGTAGCGTCAAAGGAGAAGGAGTACGAGCAGATCATTCGCGAGACGTTTACGCCCGTCGTGCTTACCGAGAGGTTCCCTCGTGCCGTCATTAGCATTGTGGTGCAAGTTCTCCAGGACAATGGCTCGATATCCTTTCCCCGACTTGTGTCGCTTGCTGCTCTTGACGATTAGAGTGTGATGTTGCACTCGTGCACGGGTGTCGATGTATACGTGCCGTGTGCTGCGTCAGCTGGTTGTCCTTAACCGTACACTGGCAACTGTGTTGTGTCGTTTATGCCTACACGTTCTTGCAGTTGCGATCAACGCAGTGTGTTTGGCCCTGATTGATGCAGGAATCCCAATGGTATCGGTCATTACGGCGTCATCGTGTGGGATTGCTGTCGACGGATGTCTGAACTTGGACCCGTCATTGGTAGAAGAAGAGGTACTGCGGCACTGATGTTTTGTTCGTGTACCAGAGCGACTGGAAACGCGACCCCCGCTGATTGCGCTTGTTTGCTTGTCTTTGGAATGTCTGCAGGAAGCTGTGGCCTGGGTAACCACTGCGCGGTCCAGCACAAGCGACGGTGTCCTGACGTGCATCACTAGTGGTTGGTGCAGCGCGATGTTTGTGCAGAATCGGATCGACAGTGCACACGACCTGACTTGTTCTGCTTGCATCAGGCTTGTTATCAGAAGAGCAGTACTTCGCATGCTCAGAGGCGTGCCAGCGGTGAGCAAGTCTTGTCATTTGTGATGATACGTAGTCAGTTGACAAATGATCGTTATGTGTAGGGCATCCGAGAGTGTAGCCGCCTTCTTCCGCATCGTCCAAGAGAAGAAGCACCCCATCGAGCCCACCAGTCAGTAATCAACGCTGGAAGAAATACAGGATCGTTCACAGTTGGTCTTCGTGAGCTGGCTGCGGCCTGGTTCAAAGATACTGTTGACGATGTCAATCGGTCTGTCGTAACCGACACCTAAAAGTGAGCCACTCGTGACAAGGTGTCGGGTGCGCTGTATTCGTGTGTTCCACTACGTAACGCGCTGCCGCTGGAGATCAGCCGTACCGGACCGTGTCGTCAGCAAACCTCCGGACTTGTCTACGCCCAGCACATCGACAGCACATGTAGCTGTAAATACGAGCAACACACCTTCAGGACTTAGTGGATCATTTACTGGAACTTCACGGTCTCATGAGTCAATTCTTGCATGGGTTGTCCGGAATGCGTTCGCTATGCGATAACACAGCTGTCGATTGCCATACATTGCCATACACACAGACGTTCCACACCTCTGGCGAATAGAGCGCTATCAATTGTATCAAAATCTGGACCCCGCCACGCATGCCGCGCTCACTGATCGACCATTGGGTCCACCAATCGCATATCTGATTACGTTGTGTGTCCGCAAGTACTGACACAGCACGCGGGACAAGTGCGAGGTGACACGAAGGTGACACAAGCGCATTGTCGACGGACAAAACGCGTCTCAAATCGCAACAATTGTCGAATCTGATCGATATAGTCCCGTTGCTTTTTTCGCTTTCGCGTTTTTTTTTGCTTTTTTACCAGAGCACTGGTACCGTCTACACGCACATTGTCCGACCAGAGTGTCCACAAAATTTGGACGGACGTCTCGACGTGGAGCTGAGCAGCACAATGTCGACAAAGTGCCCACGCGCTGCAGTGTGGTACACACAACCGCTTCCTCCAAAAGTAGCAGCAGCAGCATGGAGGACACGACGAGCACCGGCACCGACTCCAAGTTGATCTTCACCGACTCGGACACCGCCACCAGCGCCGCCGGTGTAAGCGCTGGCGTCGATGCCTCCCAGGCTGACCTCCAGGCGCAGCTGGCGCTCTTCCAGCAGCAACAGCAGCAGTACATCCAGCAGCTCGTAAGCGCGTTGCTCTGTTCTCGCTCGTGCAGGAAGTCGTGCGTGCAATTCTGACCCAGTGCTTTTTGTGGTTACTTCATCGATTATTGTTGCTGTTACTTCACCTCAGATGGTACAAAGTGGACCTTGTCTCAAAGTCGAAGAGTTGCGGTGTGGGCTGACGTTTCGTGGATGTTTACGTGTTCTTCTTCTGCTCCACGTAGCAACAAACAAACAGTGAGCAGCTACGGGCCATGTACAATTCCAGCGCCATGATGCAGCCTTACATGGTAAACTGAGTGTCCGAAACAAGTGCTGCCGTTGTGCTGCACCCTACTGTTGCATCCGTGAGGCCAACTGACACTTCGATTGGATGCCCTGCAGCTGTCCCAGTCGATGTTCCCGCGGCCAACGACGCCCAACTCGGCTGAAGTTACAGAGGAGGAGCCAGTGTACGTCAACGCCAAGCAGTACCATCGGATCATGATCCGTCGGCAGCAACGGGCCAAGCTCGAGGCCAAGTTGGGCAACCCTCGTCAGCGCAAAGCGTACCTCCATGACTCTCGCCACAAGCACGCTATGCGGCGGCTACGTGGACCCGGGGGCCGCTTTCTCACGAAAGACGAGATTCAAGGCTTGAAGGATGGCACAGTAGCGTTTGAAGACCTGCCAAGGAAGGCCGCGCCTAAGCAGCAGTAGCAGAGCTGCCACTCCGGGTGTTGTGCGCTTGCAGTGCTGCCACGAGCACTTGCAACAACGACGACGCGCCAGTTTCAGATGGCCGTACGGCCACTTTTCTTTGTATTCTGTGACGGGAGTAGTGATAACGAAACTTGCACATGTTGCCTCGTCACAAACAGTAGCAGTACCTCACTTCTCCGATGGACGGACATACGTCACATCGCCAGACTTGGATACAATCAGTCCACACGGGCGCGCACGTTGCGGCTTGTCTTCGATTCCTAGACTCGCCCAGATACGGCGATTGCCAAGTGCTGCCAACTGCGCGCGCTTAGCAGCAATCGTCTCCTTATCAAACGTTACAAGAGGCGCAAACACACTGTTGACGTGCGTGTTATCTGCGGCAAAAAAGGAAAACATGACGTTAGTAATGCACCAGATGGATGGCATTGTCAATGCAGCAGGCGGACGCAATTGACGTACTATTGTCGGTAAGCTCACCAGCTTCCCCTTCCTCTCCTGCGGTACCCTCAGTCTTCAGGCCGGAATCGCAGTTTGTATGCCGCAACAAAGGTGAGATGTCTGGCACCGCGGACGCATCGGCGATTGACGACGGTGAGGCTTCAGGAGATGGCGGAGCATCGTAGTCGTTTCTTCTGTACGACGGTCGTTGACCTATGCACGAACACGGCAGGAGGACGTTAGCACTTGCGCTCCGTACACATTGCTCTGACAACAACGGTACCATAAGTGTTCTTGGTCGGCGTGCACGAGCACGTGGAATTGCAGGCACAGTGCGAAAAGTGGCAGAACCGGCCACGCTGACACATGCCCTTGTTCTGGAAGTCGTAGCACACACCAGTACCAGGTGACTGACTTCCACTTGCTCCACTGCTGCTACGCTTTTTCTTGCTCGGGGGAGTCAAGTCCTGCAACGAAGACAAGGATCACCGTTCGTTAAGCCTGTTTGTCAGATGGACGCTTGCAACCGTCACGGATGGCACAACAAGCTCGTACATCTGGTGTTGAAGTGGTGTCACTCCGACTTTTTTGCGCACCCGACATTGACTTTTTCGACAGATCGTCTGGAAAGAATTGCTCAATCTCGTCAAGCTTGATGTCTTCGCCGACAGCTTCTTCGATCATGGTGAGATGATTACGCTCGAGCGGCATACTACGATCGGGACGACATCGGACAAACTTCCAGCCACCTGTACATGCAGCACATCGACACAAGGTCATGAGACACTAGCAACGAGACACAGAAACGTAGCTTTGCATACCCTTTCTCCATCCAACGCCACGCTCAGTAGCGTTAAACTCGGTGCTACCTACGTCCCACGTGCTTTTGTCATGCGATGGGATGTACGTGAGCCATTCTGGATCGTATACACACTCGACAATACGCGAAGACGCCTTTTTGTCTTGTCGAAACGCTTCAAAGTCCTCTAATGACAATCACACACACACACACAAATACAGACACAATCTTTCGTCTCAGTATCATGCGAGCCGTACAAGTAGCCGATCCTTACACCGCGTACCGGGTGTGAACGTGATCCAGTCTTGAAAGACTTGCGTGCGCTTGTCATGGATCACCAACTTGAACCCCGGCTTTGGCGGACGGCCCCGCCACTCTACACCCAGCTGAAAGTCTGCAAACAGCACTGCTGTGGGCGTCCAGTGAAACAATCCTTTCGAATACCCAGGCGTATACGGCAATAGCACTGGCGTAAACACCAATCCTGCATTCTGTCTCGTCTGCGAGACTCGTGGCAGGATGCTACGAATCACATGGCCAACGCGATCGATTGGGTACATGGACTGTAGCACGAGCTGAAACATGTCAGGTGGGTGTCCCTTGGGCACCGACAGCTGCTTGCGCGGCCCTACGACGTCGTTCTGGATCAGCTTGAGTCGGTCCTGTAGCTTCGACGTCATCACGGGACTGCCATTGAGCGCCAAGATGTCGTACAGCAGCAGCGTGAGCACCGACTTGGTGCTGTCTTTGTCACACACCAAGAGCCCGTCCAAGATGGTCCACTGATGCGGAACGACTGTATTGCGGTCCACACCGGGCTGCAGCCGGTCGGGCCGCACGGGGCAGAAGAGCGTCACCTCTCGAAAGTCATAATTCTGGGAAATGAGGTAGCAATGGCCTTGCACGAGCAGCACGAGGTACCGAATGCCGACGGACTTTTCGCACACAAAGTACGGGTGCTCGCCCACCTGGTGCTCGTTCCCGCGGAGCATTGTCTGGGCCACGGTCATGGGCGCGCGGTCCAGCTCGTTCCAGCCCACGATCGCGTTGATCTGGCGCTGCAGCTGCTTCTTCGTGGCCACGTGGACCGCCTGGCCGAGCTCGACGGGCACGCCAGCGATCGTCTGCGTGCCGGCGACTGCGGCCATTGTGGTCGTCGCTTTTGTAATTTACCGCTCCCCGCACGCGCGGCCTGCGTAGTTTACGGTATTTTACATGATTCCCAAAAGGGGGTGGACTGGGTGTGTCAGGATCAGATGGAAAAAGCGTCCACTCTGACCGAAGAGATTCGGACCAATGGCGTCGCTCGAAGCGCCGACGAGGGCGCGCGCGACGGCAGACGGCGCGACAAGAGCAGCAGCAGCTGCTGCTGCGACTGCACGTGGCGGTGCGTTGCCAGACACTGTATCTACGACCTCGTGCAGCGCTGTTGCTGGCTGCGCTGGTGGGCGTGGGTTGGATACGCCGCTCTCGTTGTGTACCCACCTGTGTCGTTTTCTTGTCTGAACTGGTACTGAATAGGCCCGACAGACGAGTGCGAGTCCAGTTGCAGTACGACTTCTCGTCGTGCTGCGTCCAGTGGTCTCAGTAGTGTCTCGAGTGACAGTGACAGTGAGACTGACGTGAAGCTGGAGGAGATACTGAGTGCCGTGAGCTCGACAGCCACGTCGAGCGCCTCGAAGAAGGTGTGTCTGTCCAGTGCCCAGGCGTCACTCTCGCGGAACGAAGTCAAACGATGCAGTCGACCGGTCCCTGACTCTAGTTTCTCGACGCCTGAGAACCGACCAGAGCGACCGTCGAAGCGTCGTACCGTATCGGGAGCTTCTTCTCCTGCGCGGAGTACGCCGTCTGTGAGCCAGTCGGACGGACTGAAGCCTTTTACACCGTCATCGGCAGTCGAGTCGTCGATGAATGCGTCGCTGGTGTTTGACATGGTCACGTCCCTGAGTACAAACGATCCTGGAGTGGCCATTGCTACACTTCGGAGTATTGTGGTGCTTGGCAAGGAGTATCCGTCGGACTTGCTCTACACGGAGCTCATTGACCGCATTCAGAGCCACGAAGCTGTCGCGTACAATGACGCAGTCGCAATCTATGCTGCGCTCGTGTTTGTGTTTGACAAGGCGTCGGCGTGCAGCTGTGCAGCGACGTTTCCGAACCAGTGGGGGCCCTTGGCGACAGCACTCCAGGAGGTCAGCGGAAATGGACGCGTTGGAGAAGATGGGAAGCCCAAGAAGGACGAGAGCTGGCGTCGCAACCTGTTGGTCGTGCAGTTTTACATTTACTGTTTTCAACAGGACGTGCATGCGTGCCGCTCGCGGTATACACGCGTGGAAGGGACAAACTGGGTGCACCGCACGCGGTTGTTTCTTCTGTTGCAAGGCGATAGCGAAACTGCGTCAAGCTCAGCGAAAGCACGTGCGAGATCACGTGCCAAGTCAGCCAAACCGCGCAACAACAAGCTGATTTTCCTTGCCATCGGCTGGGGACTGCAGCTCTGGAAACGTGTGTATGACGATGAAGGCAAAGAAGTCAAGAACAAGGACGACGCCGGGAACGGAGTGGACAACTCGTTTCTTCAGCAGGAAGGCGAGCAAACGTGTCTAGCAGTAGTGCGTCTGATTGAGATGCTGTACCTTTGCACGGACCAGCAAGTAAACGCACTTCAGCGCATTCTGGCCGGTCTGGCCGATCTCACGCGTCAGACCCGCGTGAGATTTTCGCAAGCTCTTCAGTCCCCTGCTTTGCGGACGCAGCTGGCGACCACTATGATTGGACTGTCCAACAAGTCGCGATGCAAGGAATTGGAGTGGTATGAGTGCAATGCTCTCGGACGCGTGCAGCTTGCTATGAACTCAGGTACATGGCGCTCTTTTTTCTGCTTGCTTCGCGTCCGTTTGTCCTGACATGCGTTCCCTGTAGATACTTCCAGCGATGTTGCACACACGGACGGGTACTCGTGGTCTCACTTTGATAGTTTTATTAACTTGAAGCCGAAGAACAGCTTGACGAAGCTGCTGCAAGAGATCTCACGCATGCAACACCACTAACTTTGTACTGCCAATGTAGATTGTAACACCTTTGTTGTATCATTTTCACACTTGTTCAGATGAAGTTTACCAGCCACCAGCTGCAGTGCTGCCGTGAAATGACGTCGACGATCCAAAGACCGTATCATCCGTATACACCGACACAGTGCCCGTGCTAGCGTCATAACACATGCACACAAGCACGACCGGTTAGTACGCCCACCTCCGTTCGGTCCCATATCAGCACGCACTTGTCCGAGACAGCCAGGTACAATCCTCGCTCATAGGAAAAGTCGCCGCTTGTTTTGTACGAAGAGAGCGTCCGATGCTGTTGTCTGCAGAATGCACGATCCGAGTCAACATCAGCACACATACTTATGACGCACAAGCTCAGATTATCGACGTACAGGATGACCTGGTCCAAGCTCGTGGCTGTTCCGTCCATATACGCGGTGGAGAATCTAACATCACAACGGATTCAGTACGTGCACATGAACACCTGCTGTGCAAGTCGTACCCGCCATAGCCAAATATCGCAAATTTGTCCGTCTTGTAACGACAGATTTCACCCGTGCCTCCTAGCTTGGACTCGATCGTAGAGGTACTAGCACAGCATTGCACAAAGGCCTCGTCAGTCGCGGGTAACTCGAGCCTCCTCATGGGTTTGTTGCAGCTGCTGGATGTGAAAGTACCAGAAATTATGCCGAGGCATTCGCGTGTCGACGAAAGCAATGTGGCCGTACTGGAATCCGAGAGCGATGTTATAGGGGCCCAGGTATTCATGGGAGAAGAGGCCGCCAAAAGCGGTCAGATTCTGCGCACCAATGCTGAAGATGAGCTATTACCACGCAACTCTGGAGCACAGAAGACAGCGCTGTAGATGTACCTGATACGTGTAGAGCGGGACTTGTAGCTGGGGCGAGTGCACGCGAATGTCAGCGACTTGGAAGTCGCCTCCATCCGTTGTCCAGCTCAATTGCGACTCCAGAGGTGCCCATCGCACGCTGCTCACCACGTCGCTTGCATTGTACTTGCCAATGATCGCAGCCGCTTGCGGGTCTCCCTGGGCTCGTAGGTCGGTCAGGACAACCGTCTCGTCAAAACCTAATGGTACACGTGTGTTAGTGCCGCGTAAACAAACACATTGTCAACTTCGTCGTCGCGCGTCGTACGGCAGCAGCAACAACAACCAACGCGTACTTACCCCCAGACACCACGTAGGAGGTCGTAGTAGGCGACACAGCGAGCTCTCGTATCGTATCGGCGTGCACGGCGTTAATTGGCGCTACACAGCACACGTGAGCTGCTCGTGAGACCCCCATAGTCTGTGCAAAGCTCGAGCAATTACTGCGTACCTTGCATCCTGCACGATCCTCCCATGGAGAGATCACCCAACTGAATGACTTGTATCTCTTTGCCGATCGCCAAGACAGCGGCTCGAGGGCCTATCCAGCGTGCATCGCGAACCTCCTGCGGACAAACGGGTCGCATTACGCGTTACCAGTTAGTCGTGCTCGGATCACACGTTCACGAAATGGGGCATACGTCTTCCACGAGAATGTGCGCTGGTGGCTGTGTCGGCGCAGCAGAGGTGAGGAAGTTTGTCACGAAGATTCGGTTCTTCTCGCGGGTCGAACTTGATAAGGCGTCGGCAACGATCTCCGTGCCCACGAGCAGGAACCCATCTTCACGCACAATGGGTTTCGACAGCGCTACATATACAGCACAGCAAACAACGTTAGGTGATCGATGGACAAGTGCGTGCCTTCACCATCGCCTACTTCGTACGAAAAGGTGTGCCGTCTCGACGAGGTTCAAAAGTGACGAGATGACTTGGTCCGAGGCCCGGGTACGAGACTTGGCTGCACATCAATGAGGGTAACGTGCCGAAGCTACCCGTTGGCAGTCGATCGTTAGATCCCACGACAGTGTCGCGTGCAAATCGATCGAAGCATTGGCTGGTTGATACGAACTGCAGTGGACAACGTACTCTTCGTACTCTGGTAGATTCGTCAATGGAACCGGTGACGACGCAAAGCTCATCGATGTCGAGAGAGGTGGCGCCGTCGAAGACATGAAGCTTGGTACCGGTTCGGTCATTTCCTGGTCGTACGGTTGATCGCTGTAGCTCTCTAGTTTCATGTGGGAGCCGGCAATGATGTCCCAAAAGCTGGAGTCACCGTCTTCATCTCCTCCTCCTTCTCCAGCCTGTCCGATAGCAACGAAACTCGTCACATCATCCACAAGCGCACTGGAGATCGCACTAGTGGCGATTGGTTTCGTTGATGCTGCTTCGGCCGATGGTGACGGCGAGGCACCAGCGGGTGCTGACGACGACACAGAAGGAGAAGAAGAAGAAGAAGAAGACATCGATGAAGACTTGCACGTCGCTCAGGGGTTTGCAAAATGAGTCTGCAACGAGCATTGGGTCGTCGACCTCAGCGCTCGCTCTTCATCTCGGTAGGGTGTGTCATTGGATCAAGAAAGTGCGAGCGAGCAGATCTCCATCCTGAAAGGACCAGAACCGGAAAGGCTCAATTCTCTCACTTTCGAGCACAAGTCGCGGATGGATGCGGTGGCGACCGATCTCGTAATGTCCGATACGTGGAGAGCGAAACACTGCCAAAGCATTCTCTTGCACGTCGTGAAGCCACGAGAAGCGCCGCCGAGTGATGCAACGTATTGGATTGCAGATATGCTGTTTGGTTTGACCGTAGTCACGTTCTTCAGAGACAACTTGCGAAAGCTTTGGCGAAACTGCTGGGGCAAATGTTGAGTCGATTTCTCTGATCGAGATGGGGGTTTGTCCAAAACGGACATCGTTAGCTGTCCTCGTGCGTGTACGCACACCTCGTTTTCACCGCGTCCGCGTACACTTTCGATGCGTACGAATGCTACGACCGATCCCACAACTCGTAGACAAGAGGCATTTTGACGGTACTACGTTGCGTCAGGACTCGAAGCTTTATGTGGACGTTATCGTTCAGGTCATAGGTAGGGAGGGCGCAAGCGTTTTAAGTGGGACGCACACGTTTTGACTGGGATACGAACGTTATGAACCAGGGCATGAACACGAATGAGTCGACTGAAACACTGGCTGGACGGAAGCGTTTTGAGTCGCCGGCGTTGCTTCAGCCAGACGAGTGCAGTAAGTAAAACTGCAGATCGTACTTGTTCATCTTCATTTGACTGTGAGCAGCAAGAAGGCGAATCCAACTCCATCGTTACAAGTCATCACTCTATCTACGACCAAAAAACCACATCGTGCGTCCTGATACAAGCACTCTCTCCACAGAGATCGAGAAACGCGCAAATGGTCCTTCCATCGGCGTCTGCAGAGCAGTGCCACCTGCATACAAATACAGGGTGCAGACTCGATGAACAAGTATGCTCATGCTTGAACATACCTGCTTCTCTGTTCTGCATATTGTGTTGGTGGCGGAAACGCAGCCTGCTCGTTTCACTTGCCTTGCGTTATGTCGCGATTGGTTTCAGCGACTCGATTGGTGGTCACATAACGTTAACATACGACACAGTATACGTACTGTGTAGAATGTTAACGTTATGTGACCATACTTCGATCGTCCGCATGCCGTGACTCTGTACGACGACGTGGACCAATCCAACGCCGTCATTTCGGTGATAATTTTGGCTCTCTTTTTTGGCCTCCGAATTGATAAAGCGCGTTTGTGGCCTGTGAATAAACTTGTATTTCTGATCCGTGACCCAATTTCGATTGTTACAAAACTGGGAAAGAAGTGGGTCAATTGCATCCGCGACGGCGCATCGCCACCTCATGGCTATGTGGGCGTCGCATTTGACTAAACCCGTGTAAACGCCCATCTGGAGACGCTTTTATGCGTGCAAAGACTGGAGCTTATGTCTGATTTGTTCCATCATGCTGGATCACAAGAAGCTTATCGTTACGAAGTGGCATCGATACAGGCAATATAGCGCTCGAGTAACGAGTGAAAGTCGTGAACATCGTCGTGGGTAGCTGTCTACTCGCTCCAAGCACGTGACCATCTAGTCATCTTACAAAGAACATGCCAAAAACATACAATCTAGGAGGACAGGAAAGGAGTGAGGTGTATTATGATGAGTTTCGGTGCTGTTCATCATCGTGGTGCATGACCGATCTTGTCGATCGTTCTGGTTCTTTCCTATTCGATGCTTTCATGCTACCTCGACGATTCTGGACAGGAAATCGTACAAGCTACGGTCATCAGCTACTTATGTGACATTGGTTCTTGGCCACAGCCAGGGATTTATTCAGGAACGACACCGTGAAGCCTGCATACAGCATCAGCACGGTATAGCGGGGAATGAGATATCGCGTCATACTTATAAATGAGGTAGTGTCGCACAGCATAGATGTTGCGCAGGGCCAGCTACGTGTAATCGGACAAACTACACAAATTGTAGTTTGCTGGTCCGCGCTTCCATTCGAGCTGATTTTACACAGCTCGCACGCCAGCGTATGTCATTGTTCGCCCTCGTGAAGCTTTGTCGTGGTAGATAGTGCAAGCTACTAGTTGTACGACCGACGCGCTGGTCAGCTGACATCCACATTTAGTGCCAGAAATGCTCGCACCTCGCCCTTGACAGCATCAATACTCTTGAGGGGTACAAGATCATTATGCGAGTGAACTACACTCGAAAGCGCATTCTGTGCCTCGTGTTCGGGCGTTACTGAAGTCGGCTCGCTCTAACATCAAAAGTTCAGTGTTACAGCGCTAGACTTGGGCAAAGATATGTAGTTTGTGCGATGAGACAAGAACCTTAATGTAAAGCCGCTTGAGGAGACGGATGTTGATATGATATACAAAGGAGATCCTCAGTCGACAGCGACCATGAATGTACTTACGAAGCGCTCAACGATATATAGCTGCTATTTTGCACATCACGTGTACCCGACTGCAATCATCAATCATACACCGATAGTATCCTACGCTATCAACTATCCATGGCGCGATCAACGAATGGTACGAAGCGTCAATGTTGCATCGAATGAGGCCGTGCTAGTCTATGTGCGGCCACGTACCCTTGATCAAAGCTAGTGCGTAGGATCTCTTTTCTGTACATCGACGATATCATTAACACGGATCGATGACACATGTAGCGGTGCATCGAAATACGTGTCCATGTCAAGACTATGTATGCGGGTTGTCGGAGCCTCACATTGGATGTGCTACAAATTTGCAGTGATGCGTGTTCACCTCGATTATGCATGTCTTCCTGATGACATTTGTTGTCGTGCATTCAGGACATGTCAAGGCACATAGAAGCTACGGATCAAATGTTACGTACTGCCTCGACACATGCGCGTGTTATCGCAGATACTTTGGTCACTGTACAAGAAAAAGAGGCGCATACATTGGGTGCTAGCTGCTTCTTTAAAACGTCACTCGCTCAGCTTCCCGCGTCCCGCAATCGGAAAAGTAAAGATTGCATCGCTGATTCAAGACGATGTAGATACAAAGGCAAAGGTGCAGAGGCAGAGGCAGGGGCGAGTACCCGTATGCAGCATGAGTTTGTTTCACTGATTTTGTGCGCGGAGGAAAAGAAGCTATCTTTGCGAAATGCATAGCAGCGTACCACAAACGATGTATGTGTTTGGGAGCTCCATATGAGTCATCTCAGAGCGTTGTCAGAACGCACACGTCGAGGTTCCTACACAAGTGTTCGAGGGAAATGATTGCACACCTGTCTCGTTTCGTATGCCTTTGACCTGAGGAGCCTTGGCTAAAACAGATGCTCGCCACGACAGTCGTCTTGGAAAGGAGCTTGGTTGTTGGCTCAAGAGTGTTTATTTCATCGCTGTTGACAAGGTACACCGGTTAGCTGTTGGACACAGACACGCTGCTCTAAATCGAAATGGAAATTTTCGACATGAGTTTTCCATTCGGTGGGACAAGGCATAAGACACGACATGCAAGATTGCCTGGGGTTCGACATAGGCAGCCAGTGCTATCAACAAGACCATGCGCCGCGTTCACTCTAACAAAAGTTGCAGAGCTGTGATGCGGATCAATGTATCAGTGTGAAGTGTATTTGCGATGTTTCGTGTTTCACGTGCACGCACATCTTCGTGTGTAGCGGCACAATCATAGCCGCGAAACCCACCTGTAAGATTAAAGAAGTAAAGACGGCCAAACATAATGCCACAGGATGAAGAAGCTGGACATAGCAAAGTCATGTTGACCATCGGAATCGATGCAGACGAAGCCGCCAGAACGATTGTGATCCAGCTGACTCAATACGTCCTTGACGTGATTTGACCAACAGAATGCAACGGTAGTGAAGACTCGATGAGCCTATACATGCATAGACGACAGTTTATATCAACAACTACAGTGGAGGGGGAATGGGCTGTAGTAAAGCCATAGTCATACTGGTTTTGCATCGAAAGTCCAATGTATGTTACGTCTTGCATCTGACCAGACATCGCGTATGTGGTGACGGCATTATCACGTTCCTCACGCGTTCTGGGACTTGACACGATATGCTTGCATCCGCGTTCTACGATACTGAAAATCGACTCGAGAGCAGGGCATTGTGTACGAAATGATTTCCAACATCTTCACCGCCAAAGCGTTTACAAAGACGGACTGGGGCGGCACTGCTTATGAACGACGTGTCGTGTCGGGCGCCCATGTTGATGATTGGTAAAGCTGTAATCACATTCGAGCCTATGTGCCAAGAAACAGGTGCCTCAGCTCTGTAGAGGCCGAATGACAACACTAAGCGTTCGCATGCAAGTGAGCTAACGAACAGATACATAAATCTTGGCCGTGCAATGTTAACAGCAAGACCTCAATGGGAAAACTCATTGAGATTGTCGTCGGTCGCTACATACAGAACCTGCTCACGGTTGATCCGAAAGAGTCAAGTGACTTTTTCGAATAAACATCAGGGCGCTACGATGTAAAATTGGACGCCGCAAGCACCTCGAACCTACGGTACATCTGTGAAGGAAAGGTGTACGACATAGGTCTCTAGTACTTTCGATGCTGCTGCCTTGTGAGTTGTGATGTAGACGACATGACGATGCTGCGTGGCGTCAGGCGGGACTAACTTGCCATGCTTCATTCATCTTCTGTGCTGCGGTATGGACTTCAGCAAACAGAAGAAGGCGCGTGCGTGTTCATCTCAACAATCATCTAGCTCTTGTGTACGCAATGCACGTCAGGTCCTCTTCATTTGGCAGCATACGCGTACTCGATACGAACTCTGTGCACACGCACCATCCGGTTGACTCATCTCGGACTAGCGAAAGCTTTGACTTCGACTTGGCAGTACGGTGCAGACGAGCTCCCGAACCAGAAGTGCTCGTATTGGACACGACGTCGTCAATGCAACTGACAACGACCACACCTGCGACGGCATTACGACTTTTCAGTCCGTCCGACAGAGCCTGCAGATCTTGCAGATTAGCAAACTAGTCTTATCACTACCGCTAACCTCGAAACGCTACCTATCATCACAGCCAACCTCAGATCTAGCTTTTGCGTAAGGATGCACAAGCGCCTGCCAAGAGGTCAAGATTACTGTCCTGGTCAGACCGCTCAACAATCCAGCTGTAAGTGGTGATGTATCTCTCATCGAGCTTTGCTTGCGTTTGTGTGCCTCCATTGGAAGGTATAGAAACCACCTCAAGCTTTGCTATGTATGCGCATGGAACTCAGGAACAAGATCCAGCAGCTCCATGGTCGACGATGCCAGATTGGACACCTATGCTAGCCAGTCATATAAGGAGCACACTGCAACCCCGACGACAGTAACCTATGGCAATGTCATCTGAACGCTTCCCAATCCAGCTCGCGACCTTATGCACATCCGGACATGTATCTCCTGCCATTCCTCCAAAGCTCGATCGGACCAAGAATATATAGAAAGCCACGCTTTGCTCCTGCCTGTCTAGTTCTTCTTCTTCGCCAACCCAGACACAATGTCGTCAATACGCAGCAGCATGCACGCTGCCTCCACGGCTGTCTTGATCGACTGAGTCTTGACCTGGAAGGGCTCCCACACACCCAGCTCCTCGGACGACGTCACCTTGCCCGTGACACCATCTACGCCGTACGACTCCTCCGTCTCGGCTTGCTTGGCGCGCAGCGACGTCATCACGCGCACCACATTGGCACCGCAGTTCTGCAGCAGCGTGCGCGGGATGACCTCTAGGGCCTCGCCGACTGCCCGGAATGGAAACTGCTCAACACCCTCAATCTCATCCGCGCGCTTTTTGAGCTCGTGGGCGAGACGCATCTCCGTAGCACCGCCTCCGGGCAGCAGCAACGGCTCGAACACAACGTTGCGCACCACTTGCATCGCGTCCTGCAAATTGCGCTCGATCTCGTTCAGCACGTCCTTACTGCCACCGCGTAGCAGTATGCTGCATGCACCAGGCTCTTTGCACTCCTCAAAGAAAGCAAAGTATTCGTCGCCGAGCTTGCGCACCTCAAAGAGTCCGCACTTGGTGCCAATGTCCGACTCCTGGATCTCGTCTGCACGACTCACAATCGTCGCGCCTGTTGCACGAGCTACACGATTGTTGTCCGTCTTGCGCAGACGACGGAAGGCCGTGATACCCGCTTTGACAAAGTAGTGCTGTGCCAGATCCGACACGCCCTTCTCCGTGATCACCACATCGGGCTTCATCGCCACGACCTGTGCGCACAAGTTCTCAATGTACTCTTCTTCCAGGCGCAAGAGCGTGTTCCAGTCCTGATCGTTCGTGAGCTCGACGTTCGTCTGACTCTCGCCCTTCTTGTACTCAAGCGGGCAGTCCAGCAGCAGCACCCGCGGGTTCTCAATGCGTCGGCGCATCTTCGAGTGCGTCACGTCTTTGTTAAACATCACGCCCTTGAGCACGCGGCTGTCTTCCAGCTCGCCACCGGGGATCTTCTCGACTTTTGCATAGCGTTTGACGTCCACTTCCTTGCGGCCCGACGCGGTCGTGAACACAACCGTGCGCACGGCATCAAGTGCCAAGTCACTCACCAAGTTGCCCACGCGGGGAGAGAACTTTGTACCGATCGACGACTGCACCAGCTGCCGCATGTCGTCCTTGTTCTCAAGATCAATGCTGCGCGTCATCTCTTTGGCCAGTGCGAGCGACGTGCTCAGCGCGCGGTGGAAGCCGCGAATGATCACGGTCGGGTGCACTTGGTGGCGCAGAAACGGCTCGGCCACGACCAGGAGCTCGCCGGCCAGAATGATCACTGACGTCGTGCCGTCGCCCACTTCTTCGTCCTGAGCGCGACTGAGCTCGATCATGCTCTTGGCCGCTGGGTGGGCCACGTCCACTTCCCGCAGGATCGCGTTGCCGTCGTTCGTCATGACAATGCCGCCCATGGGGTCCAGCAGCATCTTGAGCATCGAGCGCGGCCCGAGCGTCGTGCGCACAATGTCCGACACGGCTTTGGCCGCTTCAATGTTCCCGAGCTGCGCCGTGCGTCCAGTCTCGCGCTTCGTATTGGTATCTGCCGTACACACAGAGAGACAAAACGACACACAAAGAGACAAAACGACAGACAAAGAGACAAAGAGACAAAGAGAGAGAGAGAGAGCGACAGGCAGACAGACAGACAGACAGACACGCGACAACAAGTGCACAGCAGCAGAAGAGACGCGTTAGAGAGCAGTACACGAGGGCCGGGGGACGAGCGACGGCGCGCTGGGCACGTACTGAGCACGAGCACGGGCGCTTGCATCATACTGGGAAGAGGGCTCGATCTTAAGTGGCTGCTGGTGGTCGAGCGGGTGCTTATGTTGCGCGAGTGGGTCGCGTTGCGTTGGAAGCAAGTGTGGTTGTGGCTGGTACGACATTCGGAATACCTGACACCGAGCGGTGACGGCAAGTGACATTGCTGTGTAACCCCTCGAGACGTGGGTCGATGCTACAACTATAGAAACGGAGACGAACCTACAACGAAGTACCAGTTAATATCAAACACCTGTTTACCTTCGAGCACTACCCAATATTTGGACGCAAAGAGTCCTTTGGGTTGGCGGCTACGAGGAAGCTGCACCAATTGATGGCCCTTCGCCCGCTTTTTGGTTTTCTCGCGTCCGGCAATTTCGTCTCGATCCATTCGCGTGTCCGTGTAAACGGTGTTCTTCTCGTTTTGTTCGTATGTTGACCTAGACACGTGCAGGTGTCTGCAAAGCACACACGCTGACACGCTTCGAGTTCTGGCTTCGCAATGGGTCAGAGGTGGTATTGTCGCAGCTGCTTTGACACTGTATGCATCGTTTGCTTCGCAGAGAACGAAGCACAGGAGGTCTGGTAGATGACGCCCACGGAGCGCAATATGCGTAATCGCATGGTGGTGCTCGCCCTGCAAAAAGATCGCGCGCGAGTTGTTCGCAACACTCCTGCTCGACAGCATGTTGCGTCGTTCATGGCCGACGTTTTCATGCTACGTGCGCCGTGACTTGAACACCTCAATTGCCACGCGTTCCAAAGTTGCAGCTGAACGACTGGACCCTATGGCCTGGTTGGCCTGTCGTGTTCATACACGCCCACATCTTGGATGCTACTGTAGCTTGCCATCACGATCGCAGCACGGCGTGTTCCCACTAGTCACGCAATCGATCCACGAGTCATCACCATTGTCCCGATGGGCAAAATGTCGATTTGTCCTCGGTCGATATCGCGTCACTGCAACGCCGACTCACTTACGGTCAGGTTGTTTCGGCACTGATGCCGATTTTTTCATCGACCGAGTCCTCAGGTTTGCTCGCAGCAAAAGCCACCCAAACAGGACAATGATCCGAAAGCTCGTAGCCACACTGCACCCGTGACATGTACGTTCTTAGCTGAGGAAGCATCGTATCCCCTGGACTTTGATCACAATGTTGGCCGCTTTTCGAATGAGGATAGTATCGCCAGTCTACGCGTAGCACACCGCTGTCCACACGATACCTTCGCTCCCCGTCGCAGGCCGTTTGGCTGCTGAAGTCATTGCGATCAAGCCAAATGTTATCGTACAGTTTACCGAACACCGTTGTGGAAAGCGGCGAGCGGATCAACGCCATTTTATCCGAGCCAAGACTTCCCAACACGTCTTGCGGCGACAAGTTGAAGTCTCCTAGCACCACCACTTTTCGTGTACCGTGCGCGGATGCACTCATCTCATTGGCACATCGATTGATCTCCGCAACTTCATCGCACCGACGTGCTTTCTCACCAAACGACACATGCACGTTCATTAACGAAAGCTCCAAGTCTGGCACACCTGACTTTGCGGTTGCTCGGAAAGTGGTCACACACGGTTGCCTCGTGAACACGCCGTTTTTGTCTTCAACCAGCGAGCATCGGTCAACAAGTCGAACCATACACCGTCTGAAAAAGAAAGCATAGCGCTCGTTTCTCGCTTTTGCTCCCGCTCCCTTGCTTCCTACGGGCTCCGAGACCACGTAATTCCACCCAGGCAGCATCGTCTTGAGCTTCTTGAGCACGACCAAGTCCCGCACCTCTTGCAGCGCAACAAGGTCAAACTCGCTCAGAACGTCAGCAATACGCTGCAGCAAGGACGTTTCTTTGCGTCGCGAGATGTTGCGGATATTCCAACTCCCTACAATCAACGCCCGGTTGTCTCTGTCATCAGGCCCCTGCGTCGGAAATGCGTTTCCACGCACATTCCTCTCAATCGCCCGGCAAAAGTGAAACTGCTGCTCCTCTACTTCCGACTTGCAGCCTACAGAAGGACTGCTCCCACGTTCTTCGTTCGCTTGCTGTACTCCTCTGCCATCTGACGGTACGTACACTTGCTCGTGCATCTTGACGTAGGACTTCGAGCCAATGCCTTCGACAGCCAACAGGTCTTCTTTGCGGTAGAACGGTCTCGCTTGGACAATGCGACGAGCCAAGACAGGCCCCACGCCTTTGATTTGCTGCAACTGCTGCATAGAGGCAGCATTTAGGTCAACTAAAGCAGCTCTTGACGTGGCATTTCTAGGGTCGAAAGCGTCTGCGTCCACATAGACCTGACGTTGAGCCACAATGGCTGCAAACTTGACGGACCCGATGCCTCTCACGCGCAGGAGGTCCTGTACCGACGTCAATGGGCGCGACTCGATGATCAGTTGCGCCGTGACGCGGCCCACGCCGGGCAACAGCTGCAGCTCTCGACACGACGCCGAGTTCAGATCCATTGCATTGAATTGAACTGTGGCTCACTTCTGGCAGGACGACAGGAAGTTGGGAGCACAGAATGGACCAAATGAGCACGAAAATAGGGAACCGCAGGACAGGTGGCCGAGAAAAATGGCCCGCAAGTCAAAGCAGCAGCAGCAGCAGATGATGAACGCGCAGAAAGAGAGTGTGCGATACGTGGGTGAATATGCACGTGCTAGAGACGCATAGAAAATATATACCGACTTGGCCATCGACGTGCATAAGAACGTCGCAGCGATTGGAACGAGAGTGAGCCTTCTTCGTGGGGACGCCTCGTGCCGGATCAATGTTCGTATCCATGCATTGCCTCGTTTTGCATGACACAGGTTGTTGACACGCAAGGACCTTTGCCCCTGGATATGTACACGCTACGACGCGAGCATGACCATTCCGCGTTTCGCAGATATTAAAAAACTGTCTCAAGGATAAGGAGCGTAAATGGTCAGTACGTTGTGCTGCATGTTCAATGTGGACCGAGAACTGTTGGCACCTGCGCTTGTGTGTGTGTGTGTGTTTGCGGTATGTCCTCTACTGCAGAAAGCAACAGTGCATCTGTCTTTATAGCCTTCAGACGACAATAGCCAGATCGACCCCAACCTCACTACCACTGAAACGGGGCAGCCCGTTACATGGAAATTGTCATTTGAGAGATAATGACAATAAAGAATATTATGCTGAATATTCTTTTAACAATATCACCAATAGTGGTGATATTGAAGGGTCGACCAAAGAGTCTGCTCATTGGTTGATATCTTGACGATATCAACCCACCAATCGCCGCAAGACGCGCGCAATGAGTGGTGACGAGACGTTACCATACACTCAGTTATATTAACATAATTAAGTCAGGTTAAACAAAGAGACAGTAGCAAAAAGACTTAATTATATTAATATAACAGTTCTACTTTTACCTTATCTACGCTTCCTCGTTTATCTCGTGTACGTCTGTCGGGCGCACCGAAACCCTTGCGCTAAGTTCACGCAAGGGTGTGCCCCGTTATAACCACCATCAGCTTGAGCTGCTTGTTGTGAGGCCGTAGCATTCCATCAGCATTCTGCAATATGTGATTGTGCTTTCCAAGGTGCGTGCTCGCAAGCATTGGCATGCGATAGAGCCCAAACATCATCATTTACAGCAGTCGATGCTTCGCTCTACGCTGTCTCTTTCCATCGTAACTTAACGACACCGCCAAAGTGACAGCCACATGTACCGACAACGTCGAAACAGATGATTGAGAGAGATTACGATGTCGTGGCTTTCCAGACGAAAGACAAACGACTTGCAAAGCTGCACTTCACACGCCAAGGGACCTTCCATCTCCTAGCAGCAATAATGTCGACTCAAGCAGCGCGAAGGTTTCGGATTGATCAAGTTTATGACAAAATGAAGGAGATAAGTAAATCCATTCATAGTCACAGACAGGTGTACTAGAGAGACTGTACAAGTTGCATTCTAGGTGCATCTTTTTATGTTTTCGATTTTTGTTGACTTTCGTGATTATGTGGAAAATGTTCATTCAGTGTTTATAATGTGTTTGCAAATTGTAGCATGAATGCCATATATCATAAAAAACGGACTCGAAATAAGCATCATCTGCGCTCATTGCATACCATTGACGAATGTAACCCTTACTAAAATCACCCGTCCTGCTTTGTAACTCCAATCGGATGTCGACGCGTTGCTCGCGCCAGATGTCCTCTATCTCAACAGCAGACTCTTCGCTGTTGGTAGTTGTTCATACTAGACCATTTTAAGTACAATTGTGAGCCGAAGGAATATGTGAACGTAACAAAGGTGTATCGCAAACATACATTGTTCCCTATATCTGCGTTTGCGTCTTCCTATGGGCGCTGGTGTCATCATTGGTTCAACACAACAATAAATGTGGGCATGTTCCGCTTGCGTGATCAGTATTACAGGAGATGTTGGCGACAGCAACGGTCGATATGCAGCACAAACACGCAGAAATGAACGTAAGCGCAGATACTAGAGAGCTATCGGATGGTTGGAAACACGACTGCTACCTTACATTACAATATCGGCCGCCATCAGAATGCTTATTTACGGCACAGAAAGCGTGATAACGACGTGACTCTTTTACATATAATTGGCATTGATGAGATGTCAATTGTTCTGATCGCCACTTATAATATATGAAAATGTCACCTATCATGGTGATGAGTAAGAATAGTGACTTTCGTAGTGACATTCCTTATCGTTGAAGACACTTTACTCAATGGCTTATTCGGTCACGAAATGAACCGACGGAATTAATAATCGCCGCTGGACGCGCGCAATGAGTGATGATCAGGTAGCTATATTGGAAGTTAGCAGTTTGAAATAGTTGGATGAGATCAAATAGATTATGCCACGAAGACTTCAACTTCACATTTTATACATTATTACCATTTTTTTCAAACGAGCTCGTTCAATAGACCTACCCTTCTCTTTACGAACAATGTACATATATTTGCGAAGCACCTGATTTCTTTGTGGTCATGTGAGTAGGTCGTATCGTGGCAGTACAAGCCGCCGGTCCTCGTCACAGAATGCACGATTTAACATCGTTTTGAGATCAGATCAAGGCTAATTGACGAGACAATTAAAGATACTGCCCTTTATCATGTGTAAATCCCAATTTCGCGCAATAGCAATGGCGTTCGTCTATGTCATATGCGTGTTGATTGTTGTTGGACTTAGTGTAGTATGGTTTCTACAATATATTATCATGCCAAGCTCTCCACCCTTGTAACAAGTGATGTATGCTTAACTTCATAGTTACAAAGTATTGTGCTAGTACAAATTGGTGTTTTATCGTCAGCAAGACGCCGATGATATATCGTGGGGAAAATGAAATCATACCTTTTTGCGAACATAGCACAGCACAAGCTACGTACTCTGATCACCCTCGGTGCTTTTGGCTGCTTATGATACGGCGACGTTGACGGGAAAAAGATGCACAAATTATCAATATAGCGTTATCATTGACATATATTGGGTCCGAAACTTTACGGACACTCTTTCGTTTGAGGATGCGTAAGCAGCGGAATATAACGCAATGATGCATGGATAATTTGTGTCGGCTTTGATAAAAAGAACGTTTTGTGGACGATCTATTAAGCAAGTCTACTTAATCACATATGTGTGTTGACAACCTGCTGGTCGCCTGTTGCGCGCCGTTAAAACCGATGCATGGCTTTGTTGTCGAATGGTACAGTTGGTGTCATTTATTGATGAATAGTGTATTGTTAATTGCTGCCGGATACTGACTTCAATTGTTTGATGCTATCACCGTTACACGCACAACAACATTTACACGACAACATGAAGCATGTCAATGTCATACAGTACAAACTTTCGCAACAAGTTTTTCATGTTGTCTACGTATCAACCATTGGTTCGAATACAACCAAAGCATTAGTTTCTTAAGATCTGTTACGAAGACTAAGTATAGATAGAGATTATCGATACTTGATTGGTCCACTCATTGCGATCAAAAGAACTACTCCTATTCAAAGCATTCCACGTGACAAGCCCTTGGCTGGCAGAGGGGACATCGGCTACACACGTCCTAGTATGATGCCTTGTGTTGATGCTGGTAAAAATGAGAATGCATTAGCGATAAGGCTTCGTGATTAATTTACGACATCATCCTACTTAAATTGTCGTGTCAATTAACATCTTCAACCTTCCTTTAACTGTCCTGTTGTAATGGGCCACCCCGTTACATAAGTAGTTTCGATTAAGTTTACATGTTACTTAAGTAGGGGTTTCTTTCGAAGTAGCGAAAGTAGCACGTCGTATCTTTAGCTGGTTTAATGGGCTCAGCACCATTATTAGCCAGTAAAATATATGCACGTAGATTGAGTGGTTCCCATGAGTCCAAGGGAACCATTCGTACTTAGGATGATTTAAAAGACAAAAATATAAACAGATTTAAAAATACTAAACACCAAAGACTTGGGTTTTGAGCTTCCTCAAAACAATAGTGTAAGTTAAGTAACGGGTTATTCTAGCCCCGTTACACCTGTCAGCTGGACCGTACTGTCCTATCTCCAAACATCATCTCTGTCCATCATGCGGCACCTATTTGTCTTCCATGAAGCATGAGGATCAAGTATGACAAATGCTTGGTTGGTCAGGTGACACGCCTTTTCTATATGTATGTGTGCCATCCGTGTGGACTGTCCGGATGGAAAAAGGCTCACCGGAAACCGCACGGGTTTAGTTGCAATATTGTTTCGACACGCGAAGCATGACATGATCACCGGGCTGGTATAAGTGATCCAACCGCTTGCTGTTTTCATCGATGAAGATAGCGGCAAGGTGGCGTTTTGAGATGTAGCTCCGATTTGCCTGCCAGAGGCACGACTGATCTTACCTCGGCCAAAGAGCAGTTAATTCGACGATTTATTTAAGGGGTTATGGTAGAAGTAAAAAAAGCAATGAAAGCGTAGTAGATAGCCTTTACAGTCAACGCCCTCGAAGCAGCGAATAATGTTCATGATCTCCGAATATTCTCGCTCGCATACAGTGTTTGCTTGGGGTTCTTCGCTGCAATCGGCTAGATTCTGATACCATAACTCCCCAAAAAGATACATTATCGAAAATGTCTGCACATGTAAATTATGTTTGCTGATCATAAACGTCTCACGTGGACGAGAATATGGAGACAGCCATTCCGATCAAAGATCTCGGCATCAGTGAGGGCCATCTTATTTTTTTCTACGTCAGCTACAAGCCACAGTGTTGCTTGATCGAATATGGTGATACCGTAGCTTCCGTCTTTAAAAGGTTCGATGAGATGATATGGACCACATCGAATGGATTAACGTTCTTCAGCATCCGAGGTGTTAGAAGTCCGGATGAACTTTGACCTGCTTGCAAACCAGACATGCCTGCAGTGATCACGCTATTATGCATTCCATGCTTGACTTGTACAGGTTCGGTCGCATGGTCTTGTAACGTCTCTTACAA